CTTTCTGTGACTGACACAGCACTACATTAAACACACCAAGTTTGGGTTTTAGGTCTGATTGCAAAGCCCAGGCACTTGCTACTGTAAGAGTACGTGAGTCCTTCCTTAGTTGATGTAAATTGATTTATATTCATCATCTTAGAACTGTGGGTGTTGGAGGTGGCCAGCAGGTCCTACACTATCTCATACTGTGCACTAGCTCTGCTAGCAAGCCATGGAGGTGTGGCTGGCCCTGAGCCATCAACACAGCAACTTGTCAGCCTTTGGGGATGCTCTCCCTCTTGGACTGGGAAAGGGTTTCTTAGCCAGTTGTCACAAGGCAGACTGGTTTGCTTGGGCAATTTTCCAAGGCATTTCTACATACCATGTGAAAAGTTTACATCAGACTCTGGAAGGATTTGCTTTGAATAATAAAGATTCTTGTCTCTCCACAGGGCAAAAGTTGGTCAAGCTGACTAGAATAGCTCTTCATGTATTCCCAGTAGTTTCCTAAGCATGAGATGATGCCACAGTTATGATCCAGGTCATGTGAAGCACAGCATCCACTTGGCCTATCCATTACATCCTTGGGGGAATTGGGAGAGAAGGCAAGTGGAACAAATGCAAACACACAGAGGCCCTTAACTTTGGCCAGAAGTACCATCAACCATTAGGCTGTGTGGCAGGCTAGATGCTGAGCTTGCAAGCAGGGTAAGATCTTAGATCATTCATGGTTCTTGTGACCTCATGTTGCACTTGTGCTATAGATATTCCTTGAGATACTGATCACTGAGCCTTTTAAAAAGAGCAGCTGGGCAGGGACCCACGCATGTAAGCCCTTGGGACAGCTGCTACCTTCCAGGCTTCTTTGAAGCTAATGCTGTATATTACAATTTCTCAGGGTCTCAGCAGACTGGGGAAGAAGTGGCATACAAGACATGAAAAGTAAATTGATGTAAATCATTTGCCCTGTTGACCCAAGGGGCCTGAAACAACTGAGTTTTGCATAGTGGATCTCTACATAAACTACATATAGCTTTCAGCTATACCTTCAACGGTCCTGGTTCTTTCTTACTGATAGTGGTGACATCTGGAAGCTGCTGCTTCCTTAAGAAAGGCTGAGTACGACCTAGCAGGTGTCTGAGGACTAGCTTTCTGCAAATGTCATCACTATCCAAGTGACAAGAGTCCAATGAATCATCTAGAAGAATTTAGGTTCCAGGTACCATGGAGCTCAGCACACTTTTGAGAGGTGAGTGGGAGGTGCAAAGGTATTGGATTCTGGTAGATTTGGCTCCAGAACACAACTAGAACCTTTGCAGTTGACATGGAAGCATCCAATCTGGTGGCCCTGATTATACCAAAAATGCATCTGCAGTAGGGAACAACTATTTATTAGTAACCAATAAGAATTTAAATGTTTTACCAATGAAGAATAGCCATTGATTTTTCACATGTAATTTTTAGCTTCTGAAAAACTGTTGAATGATTGTACAATATTGCCTTAAATTTATCACATACTTGGGGAGTGTAGCTCAGAGGTAAAGCATTTGTCTAGCATGTGTGAGGCCCTGGATTCAACCTCTGGCATCACAAGATAAAGCCTGTTAAAGAAAAATTACTCCCCAACAAGAGATGGTTGAATGGTTTAAAGGCATACTTTTTCACCCTACAATTTAAGCAGTCATTTGGTCATTGTTGCCAGTCATGTTCACAGTGATAAAGTCAGTGGTTGGTCAGTTCTCAACTTATCAGTACAGCTGATCCTTGACATGCTTTCTACCTGCTGTTCCCCCTAAATGAAATTCCCCCTAAATGGCTATTTTTAAAATGGGAATCAAGGTTGTTCTCAAATCACGAAGGGCACACCATATGGGTTAATATAATAGTGACAAACTCCATTCACTTTTTCTAGTGATTTATTTTGTCATTACCCTCTTGACCTCACCCCTATTTTAGATTTTACTTTCTAATGTACAGATGTGCCTGAGTTATGTGTATAGGGGCGTGCACTTGCCCACAGGGGCCAGAAGAAGGCACCAGATCCCCTAGAGCTGGAGTTGCAGGTTGTGAGCTGAGAACTGAACCCCGATCCTCTTCAAGAGCAGCAGGCACTCTATCTGCTGAGCATTCTTTCTAGCCCTTACTCCTATTTTAAAAATAAATTTGACACACTTTCTACTGAAAGATTTAGAAAAAAAATCCACTGAAGGGGTATTAACAGCTAGAATATTAAAAGTCTTTAATATTTTTATTCAATAAAACTACATGTTTGCACAATTTTTCCTTTATCAGCCTGCTACTTCACTAATTTCATAGCATTTTTCATTAAAAACCATCTTCATATCTGGTCTAGAAATAGAATTTAGAGGGCTTGACAAAATCATGGATGTCCTTTTTAATCATTGCAGCAAAAACATACAATGCAACCAGCAAGTTGATGCAGAATGTCTATTACAATCTGTCCTACCCAACTGCTTAGAAACTTAGAAACTAACAATCTGGGAAATGTCAAATAAGATATATCATTAAAAACATGCATTGGGCCAGTGAGATGGCTCGAGGGTAAAGGTGCTTGCTGTCACGGCTGAAGATCTGAGTTCAATCTCTGGAACCCATATGGTAGAAGGGGAGAACAGACTAATACAAATTGTCCTCTGACCTTCCCACATGTTCACCAGAGTACACATACATACCTCCATACATTAAATAAACATAATGTACATATACTATATAAATATAATTATTCACTGTACATATGCTTGTTTAAAAACAGGCAGGTATTTCGGTTTACTAGTTTGATAACACCGAGCCCCTTTGATCAGCACATTCTCTGCAGTGTCCCACTCAAAGCCAATTCGTTACTACCAGGAAAACAGTACGGATAAGAGTCTACTGACCTTAAGGTCAGAGCTGTTGTTAAGGTCAGAGGTAGGTAGCTAGAATAGAATTCCAATTGCTTTCAAGAGCTGACATAAGATTGTTTTATGTTGTTTCATGATGTATTTAGTTATTAGGAGTTAATGATTGGTTATTGTTACAATAACACCCCTCTTCTAAAGCAAATCTGAAAAAGTATGCTTCCTTAAGCACACAAAGACTTTACTGTATCATACTTAACATTTATATTTTCTCAGATATTTTCAAGTCAGGAAAGATAGATGCAATCTCAAAATCTCCTTTTTATGTATTTACCAAAAGTATTTATATATATATATATATATATATATATATATATATATATATAAAACAGAACTAAAAAAAGAGAAAGTGCTCTTTGTAAGAAAAATACTCTCCCAGTGACAGTCTATCATTTTTCATGTTCTGATTTTTTTAACATTAAAGACTGCCAAGTAAAACACAGTTCTGGAAAGAATTCTAAAGTACAGTGCATACATCAATTTAAATAAAAATGCAATTCAGAGTTCTATGTAAGATACACATTTATTAACAGTGAAAAAGCATTTATCCAAAGTGAGTGTTACAGAAACAAGTGCCTCCACAGTCTGGGTAGTTCACTACTGTAGTATTAGCTCTAACTACATAGATTTGTATTTTACTCATTGGGATTCTTTGTCTCTATCACTAACCAAAATTTTAACTTAAAAATTAAGACAGGGGAATACTTAATTTATTTAACTTTTGAGCAATACTTACTATGAAAAACATATTACACACATTATCTGTTCTTAATCTCTGGGTATTTTAAAACGAAATTATCTACTAAAATATGAAAACAACAGACTAGACAGCAGATATAACATAAGTCAAATAAACTAGTTTTATAAAGTTCATAGGTACCATGGTAATAGCTAACGTATTAAATACAATTCTTCCATTGTATGCATGCAAAGAGAAAGAGAAAGGGGAGGGAAGGAGGGAGAATGCACTGAATTATGTAAGGCTTGCCTTGAGGATTAAAATGGTTTGCTTTCAGTCTGGAAAACACATAGCTTGTTTGTACATATAAATTATTGTTCTAATGTCCCCGAAGTCAGTCCAACTGGGTAAGAATCCTTGATTCTGGATTGATAGTTTTCCAAATAAACTTGAATGAAGTTCAAGATATATGGACTTAATTTAAATTAAATAACAATACAATAAAAGTCCTCACAGGGAAATCATCATCATTTGATATTCCTTGACTAGACATTTATATTAAGTTCCCAAGCAAGTGAGAATTTTAAAGGAATACCACCTTCTTACAGGGTATTTTAGACAACTATTAAGAAATTGAAGAGGATATTTGGAACTATCTTTCACACAATTGCTTTTCAAGTAACAATCTGTAAGAATGACTTCTTCACGGCTAGCTGGCTCTGCGATAATACCAGATCAGGGCTATGGTAAGCACGGACAGATTCAGAAGACAAAGCACTCTTTAAAGTTGGTTTACTAAGTTATGAACTCACAGGGACTTTCTTAACACTTGAACTTGCTTCTCTCTCACGACACACAAAATCAACTCTTAGGCTTTGGTTTTAAATTATCATCTCAAAAGGCATATTTGTCCAAAGGCATTAGTGTTCTGTTACATAAATTTAGTTCTATTTATTTTACTCAAAAAGAGTTTGGTTTTTTCATTTTAAATATATTATAATGCTACTTATTTGTACAGAAATACTCCCTACATTTATATAAAGCTTCTATATTAATTTTTAGAATGAAGCAACATAGGACAGGATTTGCAACTCTGGAAAATATTAATCTAATAGATAATTTTGTGATGTACTAACATCATCTAAACTTCGTACACAATCTAGATGACATGTCTATGAATACTCTACAGATTCCTGGTTACCTTTATAAAATCTACGTTATTCTTACATAGGACCTGGAGGTGACTACAAGAACATCAGACCCAAAAGCAGCAACACTGCCATTATTTGGAAGCCTGGTCTAAGGCTGGGCTTCAGATTAAATTTCTCTAATTCTTGGCCACTGCTGTTTCTGAAGAGTGTTAAGTTACATAAAGCAGCAATTTGCTGCACAGAATTCAACAAAATTTCCCAAAAGCGTACTTTACAGATAAGTTCAAACTTTATTTAAAACTACATTTTAAAGTTAACATACCAAACATCACAATGAAGGGCAGGGGTCAAGATCATAACAAATAATAATAATAATAATAATAATAATAATAATAATAGTAATAATAAAATAAAAAGAAAAATCCCATGTGTCAAGGGTTGAATCTGTCCAGGATTCAGATTCTGATGTTTAAACTGCCATGGGCAGAGATTAGCACACCCATCAAAAATGCATTGTCAAACTAATTTACATTTTATACAGATCAAAACCCAGCTTTATTTAGTGTCTTTTTATATGCACTGACTATGTAAGAGAGTTAGATGAGTCCCTGAAGACAGTTCAAATACTCTGGGTTCCCACTGTTTCTGAAAAGAAGAATAATGGATAATATTTTATAAATGAGTTAATCAAATTTTACTAAAATTTACTTTTAATATTCTCTTTCATAAAAGCTTTTACTTTACATACAAGACCATAACAGAAACAAAACACAGAATGAGGATTTGTTTTTCATGATTGGAAACAGAGCAAATATTTTCTCTCTAAAAAACTCCACTAGGAGAAAAAGAAAGTAACTAAAAAGATGATTAAATGTAGAGGAAAGAAGAGGGGCTGGAGGACACACTAGAGCCCAACAGTCTCCTTGAATGCCTTGAGTACATGAGGCTATATGAGGAGAGCTGCAGCTTAACCCACCAGGACGGGCTGAAGCCCACAGAGATGCCATGTATTCAGATGGGCAGCACTGAGCTGAAAGTGAAGCTCTGATAGATGTACATGGTCTGTTCAACACTTCACTTCCAGAAAAACAAGGAAAAAAAATTGTAAGATTTGAACTACTGATAGAGAATAATAAAATAATAAAGAAAATGCTTTGATTTTGATATAAAAATTGCTCTGAGCAACTCAGGAGTTGTACCATTACATTCACAGAGAAGGAAATTGGAGACAACAATTGTAAAAACCAACAGTATGCTTATCTGAATAAAATTCATAAGAATCGTTACGTTTTTAAGCTTTCTACAACAAAGAAGGCTAAAGGACATTTAAAATAATAAAGGTAAAAACCCAAAAGTAATGTGAACACAATAAAAGAAGGGGCAAATGGGTTGCAATACAACTTTTTACAGGGCAAATGAAAGATATTACACGTATTTTAAGCATTAAGAAATCATAAACCATTACCATTAGAGTTGCATCTAGTACTTTATTAAAATTAAAGATTTTATAAATAGAAAACATAATCTGATATAATTTGCAAAGAATCGAGCAGTTGGATTAATTGACAGATTGCCCCCTTTCCAATAGTAGCCTCAGAATTTTAGGAATAAATAGTACCTTTCAAAAACAAACTAGACTGGTATGATCATGATTTTTCAATACAAAATTAAAATTGGTAACTTTTACCAGGTTCTTTCAGTATCTGAGAATTTCCAGCTAATTCTTCAGTCTGCATTTCACATATTTCATCAGATAAATGGTTTTTCTGTTCTTCTTCTACCATTTTCTTCCTTAGCTCTGCCTTTAGAATGAAAATTAAAAGTATAATCTTTCATCTAATATTTGTTATAAAGACAAGCTTAGTTGAAGAGAGCCGAATACCTCTGAATAGACTGTCAGTTTGAGCGGCAAATCCTCAACTTTCACAAAGTCTTCTTCATCAGACTTTTGGCTTATGTTACCAGATTCAGCTTCCTGTAAGATAAGTTATAGTTAATGAACAATACAAAAGCAAAAAGCACAACACCTCTGCATCAAAATCTAAATCACTCATGTCTAGAAAAAAGGAGGATTTCTATCTATTCATATTTATATGAATAATTTAAAAATGTATAGTTGACTAAACAGGGTACATAGCTACAGCTTTGAGCATACTGTTGGACCTCTTCCCCCACAATTGAAAAACCAGTTCACAAAGGCTGAATGAATTATAGTAGTTACACTGGGGGCCAAAGAACTAACCAGCAATTCTTTTCTTTTCCTTTTTGGTGGTATTGGTGATTGTACCCAGGGTCTTGCATATGCTACAAGAGCTATTTCACTATATCCCTCATCCTTATTGTTTATGCTCATAAAATTATATTCAGAATGTAATAAATATAAGCTTTTCAAGTTATGTTTGTTAAGACTCGTAGAGAAATACTAGTTGTGAATTTAGCAATTTACTTTAGTGTCCATCTCCAATTCTTTAACTTGAACTCTCTTCTTTCCTTAATTACCCTTTGCAATTTTAAAAACTACTATCTATTAGCTACCTCAGTAAAACCCTGAGGGTGCATTCTCTCTCACATCATCATTGCCACCCACTCTGCAATTGCATACGTTCTTCAGACATCTTTTTCTTAATTAAAGAACAATTGATGTGCATGAATGTGTGAGGGTGTCAGCTCCCTGGAACTGTAGTTACAGACAGTGGTGAGATGCCATGTGGGAGATAAGAATTAATCCTTTGGAAAAGCAGTCAGTGCTCATCACCTATCCAGCCCCCAAACATCTCTCTCATGCAGTCATTAGATTACTCTTCAGAGAATACAACACTGACTGTTTCACTGTTTTGAGAAAAAAGAAATTTCAGCATGAATCTCTGCCTAGAAATTGAAAATAAAATGATAGTAAGAATAAATCAAGCTGGATATGGTAACATATGCCTTTCCTCCACTCAGGAGGAAAACAAAGGCAAGCAGTCTGCTCTTCATATAGTAAGCTCCAGGTTAGCAGGAATAAATAGACCACGTCTCAAAGACAAACAAACATGTAAGAATAAACTGGGTACAGGCAATGAAATGGCTCATCTGGCTAAGGTACTTGCTGCTAAGCCTGAGTTCACCCCCCAGACCCATAATGTGGATGAGAGAACAAACTCCAGCAGGGTGTCCTCTGACCTCCTCACATGTGCTGTGGTGCACACATACACATGCCACTCCACCCCATCTCTCTTTCTCAACTAATTAATATAATGAAAATTATCTTTAAAAGGGGCTAGAGAAATGGCTCAGTGTTTCAATGCATTGGCTGTTCTTCTAGAGGACCCAAGTTTAAATCTCAACACCTACATGGTTGCTCACAGCCTTCTGCAATTCTAATTCCAGGTGACCCAATGAATGCCCTCTTCTGACTTCTATAGAATCCTGAACATACATTGTGCACATACATACATGCATACATACATACACACACTCAGATACATATACATAAGATAAATAGGCCAGGTGATGGTGGTACACACCTTTAATTCCAGCACTTAGAAGGAAGAGGCAGGCTGATCTCTGTGAGTTTGAGGCCAGCCTTGTCTACAGAGTGAGTTTCAGGACAGTTAGGTCTCCAGGGCTACACAGAAAAACCCTGTCTCAAAAAACCAACCAACCAACCAATAAATATTGCAAAAAATGTTTGAAGATTAAATCAAGTAATTTTCAGAGCTTTGAATGCTTAAGTGTACACAGCAAAAAAAAAAAAAAACCAAAAAAACAAAGCAACTTATAAGAGTATGTTCCTATTGATGTTTTTAAAATATTCTCAGTTCCCTTTATGACCAATCTGTGAGTCATAACTATAAAAATATCATTGGAAGACAATAAATTTTAACTTTTTAAAAATTGAACCAATGTCTAAGTGGTGACAGACTCCCAGCGCTGAAAAGGCAGAGGCAGGAAGAACACCCAAAGTTCCAGGACAGTCTGTCTCCCTATCAAGTTCCAGATTGGCTGGATCAAAGCAACAAACTCAAAATACTTAACAACAAAAAAGGGAGAGGGATACATTGTATCCTTCGAGGTTTAAATATTATGCTACAAATCTCTTCATTTTTGCTAAAAAAAATATTAAAAATACGCAACCCACACATCCCCAAACTAATCTGTTTGCTATTAAACTGAAATGAAATCAAGGTTCAGAGTGAAACTTATTGTAAGTGTAATTTCCTAGTATGTTGTTATGTAATTTGCTACATACAAATATTGACTCTGTTGAACAGTTCTCTGCCATACCCTAAATTTATACCTTCAGGTATATCAAAGGATTTCAAATTGCCCCCAACAGCTAAGAAGTAAAACATGGATAGTGTAAGAGATTAACTGAAGCTTTCTGAGTCTCTAGCACTTTAGGTCTCAACAGGAACTCCTGCTGTCATCTGTAACTAAATTTTTTGGTTTTCAAAACTATAAAACCTTCAAGTTTTGAGGTGGTCATTTAATTTAAAACCACTTTCCTATCAAACTAAGCACGAATAAGAAAGAATAAATGTTTTGACAGGTTCTGAACTTAACCACAAGTGAAGTTTGATTTATATGCTCAATGTGTTACTCTCAAAAATGAAATATACACAGAAATGAAAAGGTAAAAATACTTAGAAATGTAATTATTACATACATAGTCATTCACTAATACCGGAGATTCAGTATCAGGACTTCCAGCCAGAGAGCTCTCGGGAGTCTCCTGAGCAGATTTCACTTCTTTGACTCTAGGCACTACGGCTTCACTTGCAGTTAAGGGTAATGGCATAGGGTCTGGCTGTTTAGATGAATCAGTGGTAGTGCGTGAGTCCTTATGGGCAGTGCTATTTAAAGGCTGTCCATTTTCCAAGATATTGAGATAACAAGGCTTCACAGGAGAGCTGTCTTGGTCATCTGCCATCAAAAGAAAGTCTCCACATTACAGAAATGAAGCATCTACTCAATTTTACTCTATAATGCTAAGTAAAGACAGTATTATGAATGAGAGTAATCAAGACATGTAAGACCCAAAAGATCCCTATCCAGATTTTCCTTATCATGGTTCCCAAGTATAGCTGAACAGACTTAGCAAGGAATGTGTTAATTTAAAATCCTGAAGGCCAAGTGATTTCAATGAATTAGGAATAATGAATTAGGATTTTTAAGACTAAAGCTCTAAAATGAGTATTATTTTAAAACAAACAAAAAACAAAACAAAATTCTCTCACTTTTCTCTAAAGAGAGTCTGTAAAAAAATATCTGTTAAATATAAATCTAAGAAAAGGGTGTGGGGAGAACTGAAGAGATAGCTTAGCCGCTAAAGGCACTTGCTGTTTTCACAGGGAACTGGAGTTCAGATCCCAGCATCAGTACCCACACCAAGTAGTCCACAATGACCTGCAACTGCAGTTCTAGTACCCTCTTCTGGCCTCTGTGGGTACTACATGCACATGGTACACATGCACATACTTAGGTACACACACATTTAAAAAAGTAAATAAATAAAGATACTTGTAGTGAGCAAGGGTCCCATGCTTTTAATCCCAGAATGTGGTTAAGAACAGGCAGATACTCAATCTGGAGGCCAACCTGATTTATATAGGGGGTTCCAGGCCACGCAGGGCTATATACTGAGACCCCTGTCCTAAAATAAATAAATACACAAGCAAACAAATGGAAAATAATTGCTAGTTGGATGCACGATATGGGTGCATATACCTGCAATTCAATGACTCAGGAGGTAGAGGCAGAAGGATCTGAAGTCCAAGGTTATCTTTAAACTACATAAAGAGTTCAAAGGCCAGCTTGGGGTACATTTACCAGGATAACAATAATAGACATTAAGTACATTAAGTCCAAAGTGTCTTTACATGAACATTAGCTAGGAATAAAAAACTACTTTTTTAGTTTTAAGCACATTGAAAAATATTTTAAAGACTCTAAAACTTAGGGTTATTTAGACTTCTTACTCTTACTAGTTGGTTCTTGGTCTGATGGTACAGTTGTACTTTCTGATGTTTTTTCAAGATCATGTTGTAGAACCTAAAAGAAAAATATGTTTTAATAGCAAGACCTAAAAATGTGTGGTCCCCATAGAAAAGATAATTAATACTGTGTGGTTCTTGTCAAACCCCAGAGCTATAAAAAGTAAAATGTAACAGTCTCTTCTCAAATGTTTCAAAGAGGCTTTAGTTAATAACTGAAAGATAGGTAATTAAAAAGATTTCCTTCTTAGACAAGCACAAAACAAATGTAAGAATAAAATAGATCCTACAAGTTTTTTCTATTTTTCTCAGGATCTCATCTTAAAATGAAAGGCTATCTTTAATTGTAACCCTTAAGTGAATTGAAACTCTTAAGAGAAGTGATAAAGAAGAGAAAGACGAACAAAGTCAAGTGCTTCTATCAGAGGAAGAAACAGGATCTGAATTCACCCCACAATGGAAGGACCCACTGCCAGCGAGGGCTACAGTAGCAGGACAGGGGTTGATGATCATCACAGGGAGCGATGCTGTGAGTTCTTTTAGGAAGTAGTGACTCCTAGTGTTTTATGCCCAACCTCACACGGATGGAAGATGATATTTTAGAGAACTGAGCTAGCTAGCTAATTAAGAGTGGGAGGAGAGAGAAGTAGAATAAAAAATGTATTAAGCGAGGACTTGGCAAAAAAAAAAATCATAAAGAAAATAAGGGTCTAATCTAAGTCTACAACCTACTCTACTCACTTAATCAGGAATACCAACAGTGGAACTTCTATGACCCAGGGTGGAGAACAGAGAACGGTTTTTGGAGAAACCACTCCAAAGAAAGAACCAACATAAACTGATAACTGGAACTTTCTATCAGAAAGTAAACTGCCTACAAAAATGCCTTATAGAGAAACTCCATAGAACCCAAGCCATTTTTTTTCAAAATAATGTGTGTATGTTGAGTGTGTGTATGTTCATCTCTATAAATCTTTAAACAGTCAAGGTTTAAACAGATATTTAAAGCTTTCAAGTATAGACGAAAATACATGACATCATATAAAACAATCAGAAAAATGTTAAAGGCGTTTAGACATAGTAGGTATGAAAGTTGAAATAAAACAAATTAATACAAGTATTAAGATCCGAGATACAGTCCAAAAAATAAAGCAAAATTCTAAAGCAATAGGCCAGTAAAAAGAACAGAGGGAAAAATGAGATTATCAACCAAGAGTTAACTATTTTACAATATATAACTTCTACAGACAGGAGAGAAAATGGTGGAAAATAAAGAAATTTAACAAATATAAGTATATAAATAGAAAAAACTAAATGAATACCCAGGTGATTAAAAAAAATCACAATAAAGCTGTAAAACTCCAGAAGTTTGGGGGGTGGAAAGCTTTCAGTGTAGGGAACAGGACAAAGCTATACACATAGGGTTAGAATGAAGAAATCACAGGACATCTGCGGAGCAGCTCTGTGACCAAGATGATGAAGCAGTAAGATCAATCTCAAAAGGGAAATATCTTCAACATTCAAGATTTTTTAAAAAATATGTAATATCTAAAAATATTAACCTTTTATGCATTTTCTCAGGTTACTAGGTAGTTTATTACCCCTGAGATGAGGTCACAAACCACAAATAAGAAAGACAAAGGACTAGATTCCATAGATAAGAGACCCGATGAAGATAATGGAGAAAATGGATTCTTAGGTTGGTAGCTATTCAGCAGATCTAGAATGTAGCAGAAAGGGTCAATATTTGAAGAAGAAAACAACAACAACAAAATCAATTAGCTCCATCTACCAAATTCTGTGGAGAGCCTTGTACAGACAGCTACTAGAGAACAGGAAAGAATACTCAGGGATGTGTATGCTCAAAGAATAGTAATAAAAATGGAGACAATTACTAAATGTGGTGGAAGATATATAAGGAAGCAGTAACAATATTAACTTGGCTCAGCAGCTGGAAATATTTATATTGTTTGGCTAAGTCTAAATATGAAACATAAATTTAACTAACACACATACACAGTCACTCAAAAAAACAGAAGTAAACAGCAGAAGAAACTGTATCAGGTATAGCCTCTTGGTTTAGATAAAGTAAATGCAGGAAAACAAATGATTTTATGCTTGTTATATATTATTTTAATTTGTGACTAGAAGAAAATTAGGAAACTTATTCGTATCTTTTAAAGTACCTTATAGTTTTATAACTTACTATGAAAAAGATTAAAGTATTTTAAAGATTATAAAATATAAAAGTAAGTGTTTCAGATTATTTTGTTTTTGAGACAGGGTCTCCTTGTATAGCCTTGGCGGTCCTTGAAATCAGAGAGATCTGTCCACGTTTGCTTCCAGAGTACTGGGATTAAATACTTATGTCACATACCTAGGTCTAAATAAATGCACTAATTTTTCAATAAATGTTTTTCTAATTATGAAAATGATGGTGGAAAAGCGCACACTCTGATAGCTTTCAGAAGACTCTTGTGTTCAGTGGCTGAGACAGGACAGGTGTTTGTAACAGAATACCTGACTGTCGTGTTCGTTTTCTTCTGTAGTTTCAGTGTTAGCCTGAAGTGAAGTCTGAACATCCACAGGACTCTCTTCAAAGTCTTCCATTTCTTCATCCTCATTTTCATCTTCTCCACTTCCATAGTTAGTTAAAGCCTGACTTTCAGCTTTAGACAGATCTAAGTTGATTACACACAAATTTTAGTAACTCACAATCTTCAGGATGGGGGTGTACAGATGAAGTCTCACTGTGTTGCTGGTTCTAACTTCTGAACTGAAGTTATCCCACTACCTCAGTCTCCTACTGTTGTGCATCACCACATCACCCCATGCAAACTTAGTAATGGTGACTGTCTATTGTATCACTGAGTGACACAGGTACTGTATATACTATATCTGAAGTATTCAAATCAGTGTACACTTCAAAACTGTGGTGCAGAATAGGAAGGTAATTTAATCAGGTTACATAGATCATTCAGTCAAAATGATACTGGGACTGAAATCTCAGTGCATCACTATGTATGTAAAAATATGTCTCAAAGCCTTTAAACTTACTAATAGACACTGGACACATTTCACTTTCTTCATCTTCCTCTTGATCAGAAACATCAGATCTTACATTTTTGGGACCTTTGGCATCATATGCCTCAGAAGTCTGAGTCTGTTTAACTGTTTCAGTCTCATCCTTGTCCTGTAAACAGTGTAAATAATAATTAACTCTTGGAGTACTTTAGAAAAGTATATACGGTAAAGCTTTCATAGTAATAATAACCACCCTGTTATAAAGAGTTACTTCTGACATTCTAGTTTTGTTTTACAAGAAAAACTTTGGTTTGTCAGAAGAAAAGACATTAAACCACATACTTTACTTATAAAAAGAATTAAGATAAAAGGTGTTAAAATTGTGTTTTGTTCTACAAGCATTATTTATAGACACAAGTTAGCACATACTTTGTCTTCATCATCAATCTCTCCAGCAGGTGAGCCATGATCGCCTTCAAGAATCCTTTTGGCCTAATAGCAAATCAATTAAATAGAGTTCAGCAGGAATACTTATGTAATTCCAGTTTTCTAATCTTAATAAGACAGCAAATCAGCTTTTTTTTCTCTATCATTATTTACATCTAAACCACTGGAATTACTTACTCAATTGTCAAAAATAAGTGTGCTTGCACACCAATCTAAGACATTATTTTCCTCTCAATGTCTATCTTTCTAAATAAATATTTATGTATATTGTGTGTGTGTGCCTGTGGAGATCAGAGAATAGCCTCATGTATTAGTCCTTATTAGTGTAGTGTGTGTGTACACCTGTAGAGATCAAAGGATAACCATCTCTACCTTGAGATGGGCCAAATTTTTGTTTCCTACTATATACCTAGACAAATTGGTTGTTAAGTTCTATCTCTATGGTATCACTTCCATTCTTATCACATGACTTTCTTTGCAATAGCTTGGTTCAGAACCTATAAGCATTCCAGACAAGTACCCTACCACCAACCTCTATTACCAGCTCACATTTCTACTCTACTTAGAGGACTTTTGCCTTTATGGCCCTGTTTTGTTCAACTGCTCAACTCTGCCTTAGAATCACTACACTGAATTTTCTCTCTATGCAAAGCTTTCCTCCTTCCTCAGGATGAACTCCTGTCTTTCAGGTCTACACTCTATTTTTGCCCCTGCAAGAGTCTCAGGAGACTGCCTATCTAACGCAGACTAAACGACCTCTTTCCAGGAATTACTATGGTATTCTGACACTTTATTTTCCTTATGTATTTAGCAATGGTTGAAATGAATCCTGTCTAGAATAAAAACAGGAGCACTATAGAAAAAATGGCCTAACTCTATTTTAGAATCTAAGTTAGATGGGTTTCTCTGTCTGCATCCTGGCCCGCTTTCCTATCTCGTGGCCAGAGAATAAGCAAAGGGCGCCTACAAGGAAAACCTCCTAGTAAGTCTTCTGCGGAGAAGTAACTGATCCAGTCTCACATGCAGTCATGATTAACAAGGCAGAAAAACTAGAGCCCTAGCCAATGGACAGATGCTTGTTGGCTGGAAGTAACTTCCTTGTGATACATATTCTTGGAGACTCTCTGGCATTTGGCAACAGCCATCATAGGAAAGCTGACCAGGAACTAGATTCAGGTTCTTTCCTCTTTGGAGCTCACAGTAAGCAATACTGAAGTGAACTGGACACCTCACAACTCAGAGTTAGCATCCATTCCTGTCTGCACTTTTGCTCTCCCCTTTGTGGTAATCCTAAGTTTAGTATGTAGTCCAAGTACTGATTTACACACTTGACTATGGTTTTACTAAAAATAACTGTTCTTGTTGAGGTCAAATGAGAGTTTATTTACTAATAATGATCAACGACTGTAATTTCAGGCTAATGATAGCTATTCTTAAAAGCAAAGGGAAAGTTACCTCTTTAGCATAAGACTGTATCACTCCAGCTGCTTCCATCTTCCTTTTGCATCTCTGTTTAACAGCTATACTATTATTATCCAAGTCTTGCATGAGCTTAAAGAAAGCCAACTCATTAAACAGCACTTCAGATATTTCTACAAGAAGATCTTCTCCACAGTCTTTCAGTTTTCTGCCTGCAAATTTTGCTAGTGAATCCTATTTAAACATAAAACAAACAATTTTAAGGTCATAGTAAACTTCAACTGTGGATAAAACAATACAGGTGGTTTAAAAGATTAAACTATAATACTTGCCTAGAGAAAACCAGTATTCCTAATATTTTATATGTATATACACATAGACTTTGGCTTTTCTGAGATTTTAATACTCTATTTCTCCTTTCCTTTTCCTTCCTCCAAACCCTCCCACATACCCTTCCTTTCACCCTTACTTCAATATATTGTCACACACACACACAGTGTGTGTGTATGTGTGTGTGTGTGTGTGTACATAAATAAGCAGAACCTGTAGTTCTTTGTGTATGACTGAGACCTCCTGGAGTTCCCCATCCACATTAGCATGTCTACTGCCATTGTCTGTGTTCCAATACTTTTCAAAGTATTGGAAAACCTGAAACTAAAGTATCGCTATGAAATATTCTATTACAAAGCAGACATCTTGCTAGCCCCATTTAGAGTATAAACAAGGGGAAGAAAAAATATATAGTCATCTATAAATATAGTACTTCCTTAATATAAATCTTAGGCACAAAAGAATAAAACAGACTCCTAATCTCCCAAAAGTTCCCAGGGAGTACATGTAGGAACTATATATGCACTACAGCATTGAATACATTAAATACAATGTGAGGAAAAACTCTTTTCCTCATCAACATGGTGCCAAATACTGCTAGTTTCTTCCTTTACATTTAGCCAACCAGTCATTTTCATTTAAAATTTTCTCCAGAATAAGTTTGTAAGTAAGCATTAGTTCTACACAAAAGGAAACAAAGCATTATCATATGAGTAATTGTGCTATTTTATATAAAGGACTTCCCTTTTTTTTTCTTGCAAAAATATGGGCTATGCTACTTAGAGAAAAGGTAAACTACAATGTTGTGTCACATTAGCTACTGACCCAAAGAATGCAACACAGAAACACTATCTATACAGCCACAGAAATAGCATGTATGCTAAGAGACTTGCAACACAAAACTTCTGAATGGAGTTCAGAAAAAAAATTAAAAGACAATACTTTAAGGTCTAGCTCATGAAAGAAAGCAGAGACACAGGGAGGGAAGAACGGGAGCGAGAAAAAACATTCTAGGTAGTATTTAATTTAACTTTTGTTCTTAAATAGATATGACCTTGTAGGAAAAAAAAAAAACCAGGAAGAAAATGAAAGTGGTTTAGCAGCATGCCTAGCCTCTATCTAGTACATCTCTTCCTCCTTTTCCTTCTTAGCTCTCTCCCACTTTACCTGCTATATGAAACAAACACCTACTGCCACTGTCATGTCCCCTGGGACACAAAAATCTTCTCTAGATAAGAATCCCAGCCTCAACATAATTTAAAGTTGAAGTTTATCTGTGCATTAGAAAGTAATTACTAGAGGTTAGACAGTATGGAAGGGAAGGAAATAAAGGAAGTCAGATAACAGGTATAAAACAAATAGGTTCATTATAAGTTCTGTTTTGTCATAGTGGCACTGCCACAGTTCACGGTAACCTATAACCTTCACCTATTATGAATATCTAGACGAGAGGAGATTCAAAGGCTCCAAATAGAACAGATAAGGAGAGTGAAATGCCCAATTATCAAACACATACTAACAGTTACTTATATGATATAAGCAAGATTATTCATGTTCTAAAAAGTTTCTCTAATTAGAGGCTGGTTTCTAGCTTCTAAAATTTCTCATTATTTAAAATTAAATCAGATGAATTGAGTCCATTAATAAGGAGGAAAGGGAGTGGGGGGAGTGGGAGGGTGTTGAGAGGAGGGGCGGAAATGGAAACTTTTATAATTTAATAAAATTACTTTCTAAGAAAAAAAATAAAAAATAAACCAGCAAGGATTTAGTCAGCTGTATACCTGAACTTGCCAGATCTGATCATCTTTCTGACAAGTTTCATTCTTACCTAAGATGTTATTATGCCTAAATACAGGACATTGATTAAAATGTATGGGCCAATTAAAGCAGCTTCACTTGCCAGATTTAACTGGTAGCTACTCACACTGTCAAATCAATCAAGAGGAGTTTCTTTGTCATTCCTAGAGCATAATTACACCATTTCAGTAAGGATTGTGTTAGTCCTATGAGAAGTTAATTAAACCATTTCTTAAAGAACAGTGTTCTAGAGCACTCCTTGCACCATGTAGACCACTCTTACTGGTCTGTCCTTTATTCATGTCACAGAAAAAAGCAGAATCTCTGTGACAGGGTTGAAACTCTGTGGAAAGATGAGTGCATCAAGTAGAAACTTCCCCAGGCAGGAGAAGACGAGCTTATTGCCAAGGAAAGGAAGAGCTCTAGTAGTTAACAAGACTAGAATGCTGTCGGGAGCTGCTGAAGAATCCATGAGAAAGCTACAGGTGGCACAAGCTATTTCTAGACAAGCCTTTACTTGTGTGTATTGCTGGGGAGATAGAGCAGACAGGGCCAAAGTGGCCATGAAAATAACCGACATGAAGAATAAGATAGGTCACACTTTCTTATGTGAGAAAGAACGGCTAAGAGCAGAAGAAAATTAAGAAGCTTAAAGCAGCAGTGTTCAGGTTTTCTTAATCATATAATAATAAATAAGTTTTCTTCTCCATAAAACAAAAAAAAATAAAATTAAATCAGAGCATGCTTTTCTTTCAGTCTTAAACTATTTGCATGGTAGAATATCAAACCAGATTAAAGAACAAATTCCACAGGAGTGGAACTGAACGAGACCCCTAGGACAGAGAGAACTGGAGGAAACAAGCTCCACCAGGAGCAGAAGCCAGGAGCAAACCCAGCCCTGGGAACCAAACGAGTCCTGGGACACTGGCCGACCAGGATTGAGCCAACTACCTGACTCAGAGTCTGTGATCTCCACCTGAACCAGAGTGGGACTGAACCAGCTACCTAGGACACAGAGAGAACAAGCTCCACCAGGGCAAAAGCCAGAAGCAAACCCAGTCCCAGGACACAGATCAGGATTGAGCCAGCAACCAGATCCAGAGTCAACGATCTCCACAGGAACAGGTATAGAGGAGTAACAGTGAGCCAGAGCCAGAGACTGCTAGGGTCCGGATGTGAATCCGGGACCTTCAAGGGAGTAGACCTAAACTAACACCCCTATGGGTCTGGGCAGGAGGCTAGGACCTCCCAGTAACTAGGCCGGAGCCAGGACCTCTGCCAGCCTGGGTATGAGTGAACCTGGGTCTTCCGAGGGAATAGGCAGGAACCAGAGATCTCGGAGGGGCCAGGTGCGAGTCTGGGACCTCAGAGAGAGTAGCAAGGACCTCTGTGGGTTCGGGCATTGTTCTGGGACATCAAAGGAAATAGGCAGGAACCTGAAACCCCTGTGGGTCCAAGCATGAGTCTGGGACCTCTGAGGAAGTAAGCAGGTCTTCTGCGGGTTTGGGTGCATCTGAGTCTGGGACCTCTTAGGCAGTAGACAGGAACCAGAAACCTTTCCAGGTCCAAACTCCAACTCAGGGACTTCTGCTGAGGGAATCCTGACCCGGATTTACAGAAATAGGTTAAAGCCTAGGCCAAAGTTGCCCTGAGGCAAGGAACTCCACCTTGGGCAACAAATTCCACAGGAGTGGAACTGAAAGGGGCTCCTAGGACAGAGCAGAAGCCAGGAGCAAATCCGGCCCTGGGAGCTAACCCAGAACAGTGGCGGATCAGGACTGAGCCAACGACCACATCCAGAGTCAGCGATCTCCACCAGAACAGGTCCAACTCCAAGCCAGGGACTTCTGCAGGAGGGGATCCAGACCAGGATTTACAGAAACAGATTAAAGCCAGCAACCTAGGCCAAAGTAGGCCTAAGACAGCAAACTCCAAGGGAGCAGACAGGAGCACTGAGCTACCTCTAGGAACAGGAATAACCAACAGGGTAACTAGAACTGTGACACTGACTGTACCACGAGAAACAACCATCTGAGCTTTGGATTCACTGGCACCTAGAAGATTATTCACCAGAATCTCAGATAGCCTATCCGAGGAAAAGATGAGTAGAAAAGGTAAAATCACACGCTACACCACAAAGAGCAACAAGATACCAGTAAAACCTAAAGACCCTACAAAGGCAAGTCCTGAACAACCAAATATGGATGAACCAGAGGAAAATGATCTAAAAAAATAGCCTCAAGAGAATGTTTGAAATTCTTAAAGATGAAATGAGAAATTCCCTTAAAAAAATGGAGGAAAAAAACCAAACAAAAATTGCAAGGTATCAGCAAATCACTTAAAGAAAACCAAGAAAAAGAAATCATTTATAAAAGAAACTATTCAAGGACTTGAAAACTGAGATAGAAACAATAGAGAAAACACAAGCCGAAGGAATTATAGAAACAGAAATCATGAGAAAAAGATCAGGAACCAGAAATGCACGCATGAACAGCAGAATACAAGAAATAGAAGAGAGAATCTCAAGCGCTGAAAATACAATAAAGGAAATACTCATCAGTTTAAAAAAAACATTAAATTTAACAAAAGCTTAACCCAAAATATCAATGAAATATGGGACATCATAAAAAAACCAAATCTTAGATTAATAGGTATAGAAGTTCAACTCAAAGGCACAGAAAATTTATTTAAAAAATCATAAAAGAAGACTTTCCCTACCTAAGAAAGATATGCCTATGAAGATACAAGAAGCTTACAGAACACCAAATAGACTGGATCAAAAAAAAAAGTCCTCTCGCCACATAATAATCAAAACACTAAACATACAGAGTAAAGAAAGAATATTAAGAGCTGCAATGGAAAAAGGCCAAGTAACATATAAAGGTAGACCTACTAGAATTACATGTGACTTCTCAGTGGAGACAATGAAAGCAAGAAGGTCATGGTCAAGCATTATGCAGACATTAAGAGAACATGGATGCCAGCCCAGACTACTATATCCAGCAAAACTATCAATCACCATAGAAGGACAAAACAATCCCAGAGAACTTAGACAACAATGCAGACACTAAGAGAGACTCACATAGATATAATCTACATGGGAAGTAGAAAGTAGAAAAAGACAAGATCTCCTGAATAAATTGGGAGTATAGGGACCTTGGGGAAGGATTGAAGGGGGGAGGGGATACTTAAGGAAATGTTCAACATCCTAAGTCATCAGAAAAATGCAAATCAAAACAACTCTGAGATTCCATCTTACACCTGTAAGAATGGCCAAGATCAAAAACACTGATGACAACTTATGCTGGAGAGGTTGTGGGGAAAAGGAAACACTCCTGCATTGCTGGTGGGAATGCAAGCTGGTACAACCACTTTGGATGTCAGTGTGGCGATTTCTCAGAAAATTAGGAAACAACCTTCCTCAAGACCCAATAATACCACTTTTGGGTACATATCCAAAGGATGCCCAATCGTGTAACAAGGACATGTGCTCAACTATGTTCATAGTAGCTTTGTTTGTCATAGCCAGAACCTGGAAACAACATAAATGCCCCTCAATCGAAGACTGGATAAGGAAAATGTGGTACATTTACACAATGGAGTACTACACAGCAGAAAAAAAATAACGACATCTTGAATTTTGCAGGAAAAAAGAATGGAGCTAGAAAACATTATTTTGAGTGAGGTAGGCCAGACATAGAAAGACAAGTATCACATGTACTCACTCATAAGTGGTTTTTAAACATAAAGCAAAGAAAACCAGCCTACAAATCACAATCCCATAGAAGTTAGGTAACAATGAGGACACTAAGAGAGACATACATAAACGTAATCTACATGGGAAGTAGAAAGTAGAAAAAGACAAGATCTCCTGAGTAAATTGGGAGTATAGGGACCTTGGGGAGAATTGAAGGGGTGAGGGGAGCAGAGAAAAATGTGGGAGCTCAATAAATATCAATTAAAAAAAGTTGTAGAAAAAAAAACAGATTAAAATATTTTGTTCACGTGTATGTATCTATGAGGATATGCCAAGAATGTACAAATGCTTAAAACAAAAAATAAAACAAAAAGAGAGAGTGGCTAACTCCTAAGCTGCTGAAGTTGGAGTCACAGGCAGTTGTGAGTGATCTGACATGGGTGCTGAGAATAAAACCCAGATCTTCTAAAAGAGCAGCAAGTGCTCTTAACAGCTGAGTCATCTCTCCAGCTCCTTCAAACCAATAAAATATTTTTGGAGTTAGGATAAGTCTCAGAGATGGCCACATTAAATGAAAATACAGAAAGGCCTCTTACAATTTTTAACTAAGTAAAGAGATAATATTACAATGCCATCCAAAATGAATATTACAATGGATTCTTGAATAAGTTGTATAATACCAGAAAATGACAATAGAACTCTAACAAAATGGTATGGAGGTAACAAGCAAAAATAAACTCTTACCTGTAATATACTTCCTAGTTGTTTATGAAAGAACTTGACAAACTCTTTGCTCTCATCATTTTGTTGGGTAAGGGTCAAAACCATACGTCTTACTGAAGTGAGAAGTTGAGAAGAACACACTTCATCCATGTGTTCCTAAGAAAAACCCCAGTAGGTTAGGATGTAAACTCATCTATTATTTAAAAAGTATTAATCTACACAATTTGAAATTTGTTTCTCTTGCATAGTTTCTCATTTTCCAGAGATACTGGTCAGTCTCTACAGTATATACAGTGAAAGGTTTGGGGATTTTAACCCATACACTAGAAAACGACCAATAAAAGAAATTTTCTATTCCAATACTTTCTATCACTTCCCATCTGTACTAAGGAGAATTATGCATGCTGACCTTCCAACTTGTCTATCTTCCTGATTATAGTTCATAATTTCAACCATGTTTACAATCTTACCAACCTTCTACCTAATTTCCTCTCTATTATGTCTATGGTGTTTCAAATAAGAATGGCTTACAGAGGCTCATAGAGTTGAATCTTAGCCACCGTGGAGTGGATTGCTTGGATAGGATTAGAAGGTTTAGGAAGTGCGGTCTTATTGAAGAATGGGTATTACCGGGGATAGGGCTTTCAGGTTTCAAAAGCTCATGCCAGGTCCAATCTCTCTCTGCCTACTGCTAATGACTCTCAACAACTCCTGCCACACTTGCAATGCCAGTCATCATGCATGAACTATTCCTCTGGAACTGTAAGCAAGCCCTCAATTAAATGCTTTTTCTCTTGCCATGCTCATGGTGTCCTCCTAACAGTTGCTAGTAACTACACCGGCAATACCTGTACCCATACCAATAACTAAAACTGCCTCTAAATATTATGAGATGTCTTCTAACTTCTTTAAAATAACATATAGAACATGTTTCTTCTTAACTGCACCTTAGAAACCATGTGGAAAAAAAAAGTGTGGTGGCATACGTGTGATTCTAGCACTTGGAGAGGGAGGCAGGAGAAGACGGTTTTTAGTTCTAGGCCAACCATGGTTATATACTAAAACTCTGTCGCAAAAAAACCTAAACTATATGTGAATTATGAAATAAACTTTAGCCTGATTAGCTTCTTAAGGTCAGTCTAGAGCAGACCTGTAACAAGTACTTTCAAGATTCTCATCTCCTTTTCTGCTATTAATCCATTTAAGCAGGTCCTGTCACCCTTTCTCCAAGTCAAATTCCACTCTTCCACTAACAATAAGGTGGCCAAACTACACGAGACCAAAGGTTGACCTAAGTACATAATAAACATAAATAAGTTCATGTGCCAAGGCAGTTCGTTTCTGCAAGGGGCCAAAGACTAGTAAGTGATTTCTTAAGATGGTGTCTCATTACATAGCTCAAGCTGACCTTTGACTCTTGACACTCTTGCTTCAGCCTACTGACTACTGGAACTACAGGAATGTACCACCATGCTTGGTTTCTAATAAGTCAACATAGACAACATATTAAAAAGATAAATTACATTAAAAAAATACCATTAACTAAAATATCATCACTTTTCCAATATTGTAATCATTTAGAAAAAAATATTTTACCACCTAGAAAGATTCCTCATGCTTTCCCTTTTCTGATTTTCCTTCTTTAAAACTGAATGAGTATGTGTAGAGGCCTGAGTGCATGTATGTGCACCACACTGGTTCCCAGTGTCTGAGGCCAGAAGATGGTGGGAGAGCCCCTGGAATTGTATTTACTTGTGAAACAACACGCTGAGTGCTAGGAACCCAACTTGGGTTCTCAGTAAGAGCAGCAAATTCTCTTAACCACTGAGTCATCTCTCCAAGCACAGATTAAACCCAAAACAACAATGGGTGACTTTAATATCATACGTTACCAAAGACAGATCATTCTGATAAAAAAAATAGGCACATCTGAGTTAAATGACATTATAGACCAAGTATATCTAACAGACATCTTACAATGCTTTGAGCATTGTTTTCTTTTAACCTTACTATTCTTTTGCTTAGATAGTCTGGTTTTCTGTTTTAATGGTCTTCTCTCTCTCTCCTCTGTGTGTATGTATGTGTGTGTGTATGTGTGTGTGTTTCTCTCGAAATTTTTTGCTGTTTTCTGTTTGTTTTAGTCTATTCTGGTTTGTTTACTTGCCTGTTTTCTAAAGAGAAATAAAAGAAGGCATGGAACTGGATGGGTACGGAGGATCTAGGAGAAGATGAGGGAGCATAAATAATGAGAATATACTGTATGGGAAAAAAACTATTTAAAAAAAAGTAACAGGAAGAAAAATTTAAAATGAGCCCATGACAGTATATTTTATAGTTTTCCATATATGGGTGAAATGCAAACTACATTTTCATTTCCAATTTTTAAAATTTCCAACATTTAAAATTTTTACTTTAGATGAAAAGAGTGCAATTTAAAAATTCTTATTTTAGATGAAAACATAAGATGCAATTTCAGAAAGCAATTCACTTCTTCAACTAGCCTACAACTCACTATGTATAGTTGGCCTCAATCTCAGAGTTCTGCCTATTTATGCCTCCTGAGTGTCAGAATAGCATGCAACACTACTACACCCAACCAAATTTCACTTGTACACTTTTTTCCTTTGCCCTGTTAATAGCATTATTTACAAGTACATATTATATAGACACTATTAGCAATTATATATACTGGTTTATTTTTTAAAATTGTTTACCTTCAAAAAAGGAATGACTTCTTTCATAATTGCTTTAATTTGGCGGTCCAGTTGTTGAGTATCAATTCTAGGACACGGGACAGCAGAAACATCACTTATAGGTTGTGACGAAACATGATTCTCAATAATCGGAGTTTCTACTTTTTAAGAAAAAGGATATATCAGCAAAAGTCAATGACAAACATAGATATACACACATTTATATAACATCTTATTAGAATGTTATAATAAATTTATTCTAAAATAAAACAAAGGAAAAAACAAGTATTTTAGCAGTCCTTATAATCTAAAGAAAGCAGTAATAAAACCACTAGTATTAAATAAAAAGGGTTTTAACTTTTTTTTTGTAAACACAGAATGGCAAGTACATAGTTCAGACTAGTCCTGAATTTGCAATGTAGCCAATACTAGACTTAAACTATAATCCTCCTGCTACAACCTGTTGAGTTCTGTGATTACAGCTATACCCAGCTAGCTTTAGTTTTTATATGCAACTTTTGATTATTACTTCTCAACACTCTAAAAACACACCTTCTAAATTACTGACTGTGGTAGTGGCAGCAGCACCATCTTCATCCTCAATGACCCTGCAAGTACATCTCATATTTGAGTTACTTTCAGTCTCAGTCTTCATGCGTTCATATTCTCTCATTCTGGCTAATGCTTGATCCAAGTGAATCACGGTATTACCTGAATTTGGAACAGAAATATTCCTAGAATATGTAAAAGCAATCTTTTCCCATACTCTCAAAAATAAAAAATCTAAACACAAGGAAGTAAAATCAGTTTTTTAAAGACCTATTTTTATATGTGTACGGATATGTACATGTATGTGTGAGAGAATGTCACTGAGGTCGGGAAAAGGAGTTACAGGCATTTGTAGTGCTACAGCAGTAGTTAACCACCTGATATAGGTGCTCTTAACTGCTGAACTATCTCTCCAGCCCAGAATTAGCTTTGAAAGAATTTCCCTTTACTGTACTAATGAGGCACTTCATGGACATCTTCATCAGCTATTTGTTTAATCCTTAAATGACCCTACAATGACAGCACTTAAGTAGCTTGTTTCAGATTGCATAACCAGTTAAGTAAAGGGATTGTTATAAAATTTGAGTTTTTATCTCAAACTATTAGCTTCACATTTTTATTGAAAACACGTTTGGAGAAACCATGGATTTTCCTCAATAACTAAGTAGATGATCTTTCTCCTTAAGAAAAAATAAAGTTTCATTTAAAAAGCAAAACTACTATACTTCATATTTAAAAGGTCAATGTTTTTCCCAAGAAGATAGGAAACTAGACAGGGGTCCTACTTCTTCAGTATTTGCACACCTACAGAGAATGGATAATTTGTTCCAGGTCAAGGAATAAACAAGAGTCATGGATTTAGACTGATGGATTTTTTTGTGTGTGTTCATCCTAGTTATTTCCTTAGTCAACAACTCAAAGACTGCCAAGAGATCATCTTAAAGTCATATGCAAGATTAAGAAAGCTCTGCTTACCTAGATCATCTGTTGCAAAAGGCTCAAAGTTGGAAGATATGGACATGACACTCACATTATCAGCATCGTTTTGTTCACTTATTTTGTGTGTTTCTCTTTCAAAGTTCTTCTCGAAAGTTTCCTAAGTTAAGCAAAAATCACTAAATATTCCATTGAAAGCACTAAATAGTCCATCTAACACAGAAACTGTTATTTCCATAAAACTATATACCAAAAAGGGTACTAAGAAGTTGCATGAGTAATCTACCCAGACAAGACCACAATAAAACCCATTATTAAGACATTAAAAACATTAAAATATTAAGTAATCTTGGAGAACTTTCTTGATAAATAAAAATAACAAAGACAACTCTCATTAAAAATTATAAATTGATAGTTAACATTTTAAATTATCTTTACATTCTAATTGACACTTATATCTCTAGATCCTTACTATAAGTGTATCATTTGAAGTGGCACTTCAATTGTATTTTAATAAATAAAACTTGCCCGAGGGATCAGAAGAGTAAAACCAGCCCACTGGCCAGGCTTACAAACCAGGCAGCAATTAACACACGCCTTTTATCCCAGCAGCCACTCTAGCTGCCACAGAAACCAGGCGGTGGTGCACACCCTTAATCCCAGAACTAGAGAGGATTATAAAACGGAAGAAGACAGTTCTCAGTCAGTCTTATTCTGAGATTCCCGGAGGCAGGATTGTCATTTTCAGACTGATGTAGAAGTAAGAGCCAGTGGCTGGCTGCTTTACTTTTCTGACCTTTAAGTTAAACTCCCAATTTCTGTCTCTGAGTTTTTATTAATCGTGCTTTACTCATTGTCTTATATCTGAAGAATTATAAGACATTCATATTTATAAAATTATATTTTATTTGGCACAACATTTAGTAATGTACCTTTCGGACAAATGGATACACTTATATAATCAGCTTCTCTAAAGATAAAGATCATTAGCTTGACATGGTGGTGTTAGTCATAGCACTTAGGAAACAGAGGCAGACAGATCTCTGTGAGTTCACCAGTGAGGCCTCTAAAGGGAGTTCTAGGTTAGCCAAGGCTAAACAGTGAGACCCTCTCTCCAAAAAAATAATATATATTAAACACACACACACACACACATATATATATACATATATAAAACACATATATACATAGCATATATAATTTCCATCAGCTAAGTTCCTTTTGCATCCTCTATAGTTAACCTCTATCATCTCTCATCCACACAATTTTTATCACTTGATATCAGTTTTTCCCAAGTTATTTCAATGTCCAATAATCCTTAATATAATCTAGTAATTTCTTCTCCTTCCCCCAAATGAATGAATAAATAAATACATGAATAGTCATGTCATTTTTAATTTCCCCAAAAAAGGAACATACCATTTTCAGATCATTGTAATAATTTATCAAAGTACTAAGTACTCATTTCCTAATTTTCATCTAACACTATAAAAATGGAAACTAGGGACTGAATCGTTCCCAAGTTATCACAATGCCCAGTAATCAGCAACCACCAGGTTCAATGAGAGATGTTGTCTCAAAAGACAATGTAGAAAGCAATTTAGGAAGACATTCTATATCAACTCCAGGGTTCCATACACAGGTGCACAAACACATCTACTACACACACATTCACATACACATTATGACACATATACATTATATGTGCATAAGTACAACAAAACATAAGTTATATACTTTTTAGACACAGGTTTGTCTAAAGCACAAGATTTAGAGCATGAAGAACAATTTTAAGTGGAAAGGTGAGTTAAAGAAGTACTGTCTTCAACATGAGTATAGGAGCAAAAAATGAGAGGAAATCGTCAATTGTTTCCAAGTACATTATTCTATCTAAAAAAGAGACAAAAATATCCTTTTGGAGAAATTTCATCTTCAGAAAACATTGTGTTAACATTACAAGAGTGAGAAAAATCACAACAATGTTGAGTCCAACCCTTTACTTAGAAGCAGATGTCTGCTTATAAATTATTTTATTCTTACTCAGGTGCTTTGAGTTATTTAAGAAAGCCATTTGCTATACAAGACCCATAATCTCAATGCCTGAACCTGTAAATAGGCCACTCCCAAGTATCTGGCATATAAAAGTATCCTACCATTTTCTATGGTTTTTTATACTTGATTAAAATATTTGTCTAAGTAGAATACATTAAATTACATTTATTATTTTTTGAATGATTTTCTTTTGTCCAGGTTTTTCTGTGATCTGACTGGTATTTGAACTACTAAATGTTCTCAAGAACACAACAAAGACTTATTAAATACCCATTAAAGATATGTGTGGCTATTGTAGGATTCTTTTAGTTTTTGTTGTTGTTGTTGAGACAGGATTTCTCTGTGTAACAGCCCTAACTGTCTTGGAACTAACTCTGTAGACCAGGCTGCCAGGCTTCTGTGAACTCAAAGAGATCTGTCTACCTCTGCCTCCGGAGTGCTGGAATTAAAGGTGTGGGCCACCACTGCCCAGCTATTGCAAGATTCTTAATTTATCATTTGTTAAAGCTCAATATCAACTATATGATCTAACTTCAACTTTTGTTTATTATACATTGACAGTAGGTCCACATTTAACATATCATATTGGCTTACATCATCAGTAGTAGCAAGGCTTTCACTTGGAGTAAGTTCTGAGTTTGATGCTACCCAAGTACCAGAATTCACGGACTTTACATTTTCTCCTTCTTTTTCATCACTTTCAGAAATATGTCTGGAAACAATATCCTAAATAAGGAAATAAACACATTTATATAAAACATACACACACATATATATGTTTAACTCCAAATTTATGTTACAAATTTAAAATTCAAGGGATATGGAAGAAAAAATAAAGTATTTTTCATAGATTAAATAAGATATATATATATATATATATATATACCACAGAAAATGCATGTAAAGATATAAGAAGTTTAAAATAAAATGGTGCAAAAAAAAAAAACAGAACAAATCTAACAGCATAGAGAGCAAGGATGTGCCTCACTTAAGAAAGTTATCATGGATAAGCATGGAGTAAACTGATAGAATATGAGGTACCATATACCTGCAATGCATATAAAGCCCTCTGTCTCAAGTAGTCTGTATTAAGCAGTTGCAGCTCATGGAAAAGTTCAATAAGAAAATGTGGACGAGACTCATTTTGAGAAATTAATGTAGCTACTTCAGAATAAATAGTATCCCGTAAAGCTTCAAACATGGAAAAATCACTTCCAGTTTCTGGAAGATAAAAAAGATCAAGAAAACAACAATATAATACCTTCATATTAACTTCTATTAATCTGTATCATTTTCTAAGCTTTAATTGAACATAATTCAATTTCTAGACTTTAAAAAATAATCCTAAAATATCGAGATAAATAGTATGTATTAAAATATTTAAATTCAATAATAGCAATATCTGATGCCACATAGAATATCAATTATGAATTAAAATTAATATTAAATTAACCTCAATAAAAAATTGACCAGATGAGGTATAGCCTACCCAGGTTGTGGAACATAAGAAAGGGCTGCAAGTTAAAACTAGCCGCCTGGGTTACATAGCCAAAAACTGGCTGAAAACAACTTGAAAAATTGTATGTACTTCATGGGACTAATCACTGAAATCTATAAGCACTTGAATGCAATAAGCTAGATTAACATAACTTTGGTTTATTTTGGTAATACGAACTTCATTTAAAAAATAGGAAATCTGCTTATTAATATTGAGAAAAAATATTACAGCATGACACTGTATAATTATGCCATAACTGGTCAATTTCACTACAATGTCATAATTACATAACTGGTTCAAATCAGAGCAGAAGGTGCCCTACTACAGTTGCTAGTTTTATAGACACTTCACATCACTGTCTTATTTAGCTAAAATACTGTCCCATAAACTGATGACAACATTTTTAAAGCCATACTCTTTTTTGGGGGGGGGGTAGGGGTCTGTAGTGATGGAAACCAGTCTCAGGGTCTCTGAATAATATGCTTAGCCTTAAACTCTTTTCAGGAGACAAATAAGAAATTTTGTGTTCTCTCTAGTAACAGAAACAAAAACAAAAACAGCTCACACCCAAGTGGTTCTTCTAACTGCAAAATTCGGTAATCTTTCTAGAACAACAGTAAAACTTGCAAGTATCTAGTTAAATACGTTTCTTCAAAAATAATGATTCTAAGAAAAATAAAAAAAGTTGAGTTTCAATATATGTTGCTTTTTAAAAAGCATGCAAAGAACATGAATATATAATCATTTTTGCAGACAGGGATAAGATAATGCAGAAATAATGTATTCTAATGAAAAACAATAAGCTCTGCACTAACTGGCTACGTTACATGAGTAAGTGTTCATTTCCACAACGTAAAAGACATGCAAACTAGCCAATCTTTCTTTAAGATGGTTGTGCATTTTTAAAGGTGATGGATTAAAGTTCTTCTCACAGTTTCATAGTTTAATATATCCACATGTGATGTATCATAATAAAGGTAACACTAACTAAAATAGGAATGAAAACCAAGACATCTCCATTTCAAGGAAGGAAAATCCAGACCAGGATACTACTTATTACGTAAATGTTCAATCCACATATGGCAAAATAATCAAAGTTTAATTTTTAAAATGTTTCTTTCAAAGCTTTAAAGTAATGGCTTAATAGTTTGAGAAGATAAAAAGTATTATTCTACAACAAAATTATTCCTAATTACAACCTTCATTTCATTTATTTTATGCCATTAGAAGTTTTAAATTTCATGTCAGCCTTCCCCCCTTAACTAAAATTAATGCTAAAAAACTCCCTAATCACTGCCAACCTAATTCAGATTCTATTACTTTACATCCAGTATAATTGTCAGGTCTGGATTCTTGTTTTGCTTGACATTTTGGTTATGAACTAAGCCTTTAACAGCTCAGCCAATGCTCTCACCTATGTTTAACTTTCTTTAGAAACCCCTAAGGATTCAAATAGGACTTTACTTTCCATTCATATATTACTACAGGAGGAGCTAAAATGTTTTTAAAATTGTAAACCATATGAAACACATTAAATAAAAAATCTCTCTCATTACTGCTGCAATGGGGGTAAAATACTTTTTAATTCTAATTCATATAAAACTGTATCTAATACAAATATGTATTTTGGAGTTAACATTTTGGAATATTTCTAAATTTCTAAGATCTTTATTAATTTTAGTCTATGCCCATCATAGTTTGATTTTTTTTTGATTTTTCTTTTCAGATATTGACAGGTAGCAAAAAAAATAGCTATGGTATAAAAACAGCTGTATCTACTTACAAAAAATAATGCTTTTTGCTATTTCAGATACATGAAACAAACAAATTTCAAACACTATTACAAAAACAGTCAGTTTCTATCACTTTTACAGATGTGTTGGCTAGATTTCACGTTAACAAAACAACAAAGGTACCCAGTTTTCCCAACAGTAAATTATACGTAAAAGACTGTAGAATATGACTTTCTTATCTCTATAAGTTCAGTACATACATACACTAAATTAAATCCAAAAAAGAAAAGAAATTCAAGGGTTGGAAAGATGACTCAACAGTTAAGAGTACTAGCTGTCCTAGGAGGACTCAGGCTCAGTTCCCAGGGCCCACATGGTGGCTAGCAACTATCTGTAGGTCCAGCGCCGGGCATTCAACTCACAGTAATACATGTAGGCAAAGAACCCACACACAACACATAAAACTAAAGAACAAAACAAGTTGGGTCTAGTAGCACATGCGTTTAATTCCAGCACACAGGAAGCAGAGGGAGGTGGTTCTCAAGTTCAAGGCCATCCTGGTCTACACAGAAAGCTCCAGGACAGCCAGGGCTCTCTGTACAGAGACCCTGACTAATAAAACAAAACCAACCAAACAAAAAATTCAGGCTAACATATGAATTTTAGGATCAAAACAGAAAGGTAACAAACATGGACACCAGAATTAGAAGAGTGTTACCTGGCGCTTCATCACAAGCATTTCTGTTAGATTTGCTAGCTTGGTCTAGTATTTTAGCACAAGCTGTAGGAAAGGACAGACACAAGAGGAACATAAAATGTCTATGTGTTGTAAAGACAGCCTTTATAGTAAGTGACTGAAAAAATAAATAAATTAAAAATGTAATGACAAGTCATTGCAAGGAATAGTTTATGCTTTATCTGCAAACAGTCTCGTCAGAAGGGCAGGAGAGATGATGCAGTGGTTAAGAGTAAGCACTAGACCTCTCAGAGGACCCATGATCGATTCTCAACACTCACAACGTGGCTCACAACCACCTATAAACTACAGTCCCAGGGACCTGATGCTCTCTACTCACTTCCTCAAGGACCTCACGGGGTACCTAAACAAAACATCCATAGACATAATTCTTTTATTTAAAAAATGGAAGTAATCTCAGTAAAGAAACTCTGCTATAAACTAAATGACAGTCATAGTGAAGTACTGTCATTTCGGGAGGAGCCTATTTTCCCGCGGGAGAAGAGGAAACCATAATCCAATAAAAACAATAAATGTTGCACTCTAGCTAGCAAAGTCACAATAAGCATCATCAATAAACACTGCAGGGAATCTCAGGGTCACAATAAATGAAAAACATGTATTTTAGAATATTAAGGAGTAGCATATTTAGCATGTTTTTACACTCAAAATATTTAATTCACCAAAATTCAATAATTTTTTGAGACAGGCTATTACTATGTTCCCCTGGCTGGTAGACAACTCAATTATGTGGACGAAACTGGCCACCAACTCACACAGATATGCCTGTCTCTGACCTTTGAGTATTAGGATTAGCGCCATGTGCCACCATGCTTGAATTTTTTAAAAAATAACAATAAAATTGGGAATACTAACTTTCAATGGAAGTGATAATACTAAATTTTTTATGAAGTCATTCAATTTTGCGGCCTTTCTCAACTCCCACTCAACTCTTTCACAGTACCACTTTTGGGTAAAAAATAGTGAAAAGAGATGAAAATTTAAAAATTTTGCTGGGCCAAGTACAACAAAATTTTTTTTTCAAAAGAATCCTGTACAGTTGAAAGTTCAGTGCTATTAACTCCTAGCAATATAAGCTTGAGAAAGCTATTTCAAAATACAAGCACATGTGAAGTTTCTATTCTAATTACAAAGCTAACAACTATTAGTAAACAGATGAGCTTATAGTTTATAAACTACTGCAAATATTTTGACACAATTTCTTCTATCCTTGTTTTCCTTTACATTTTTATTCATACATAGCTGAAATTAGACTGTTGAGCCAACACTTAACCCTCAATTTTGGTTTCTCACTTCTGCTCCCTTAGGGTGAATTCCAAAAAATAGATACTAAGTTAAGGGTATCGTTTTCCAAATTTTATAAGAAAGTTAATTTCATATTGACAGTCTTTTAACAGTGCTGGAAGAAAACAGGTATCTTCCCTGTAATTCCACAACTGCAAAATGAAAATAAAGTAATGACATTATGAGGCTCAAATGGCATGGGTAAAATTTTTATAAAACAAAAATTTGTAAATAATAAAGTATGACAAAAATGGTAGCTGACATCATTTTTCATCAAAAGAGACAAATGAAGACTATGAATCTCTCTGTATTTGAGACGTACCTATTCTTTAAAAAAAAAAAATCAGTAAAATATAGGTGCTGATTTGAAGTAGCCCACAAGTGACTCAGTTTCCATCAGGAGTCCATTCTAGCTCAAAACTCAGAGTTCAAGCTTGCCTGTTCTGCTCGCTCCTGTATCCTTAAATGCTGTGAGACAGCTCTGATTAAGCCCATGGGAAAGAGCATTTTGCCCATGAGAAAAGAACATACTAGCTAGTAGAAAGATTACTGCTGATGCCAAACCTTAGGGAACATTCAGATAGAAGAAACTGCTTGTTCAAGGAATGGTCTTGTGGTTAGATATCAACTGTGCTGTGCTGTGCTGTGCTTTGTTCTGCTTTTGTGTATAAGCAGGCTCTGAAATAAACTTGGGGCTGGCTGTGCAGAGTAAGTTGGCAGTCCCCCGAATCTATCTTATGTTTTCTGCCTCAATTTCTCTCAACATTTCTTTAGCCTTAGCACCCCCTTCCAGATACCCTGGCTGACTTTGTTGGGGAGGGCTCTGACTCTGACTTAAAGTAAAATGGTAACAGTGATTGACTCTAGTCAATGAACACTTACTAAAAGCATACCACCTATCACGTATTATACCAACATTTAGTGTAAAAATATAAACAGTAGTTGTTATCAAAGTACACAAAAATTTAAAATAATTTAATATTAAATTGTGACTCAGATAATGGAAAATAACAAGCAAGAATGGAAATGAAAGGGAAAGCTGGTCAACCTTAGATTCAGACACAAGATTCCAGAATTAAAATTTCACTTAAGAATGAAAGTAGCTGGGCAGTGGTGGCTCAGGAGGCAGAGGCAGGCAGATTTCTGTGAGTTGGAGGCCAGCCTGGTCTACAAGAGCTAGTTCCAGGACAGGCTCCAAAGCTACAGAGAAACCCTGTCTTGAAAAAACAAAAACAAATCAAAACAACAACAAAAGAATGAAAGGAACATAAACAACAACAAAACAAAAACAAAAAAAAAACAGGCAAAAAGGAGATGGATGTGATATGGGAAAGATAACAGCTGATGGCTGGTAAGCTGAAAAATAACATGGCAGCATGGGAATGCTCTGATTCAGTACCACTAAAAAAAGTTTAAGGCAGAGGCTCCATTTGTTATACAAAAGGATGCACACTTTAGCACAGGCATGTTGCAGCAAATGTTTTAAGAAGGGAAGTAATGAGATTTCATATCAAATCCTATTTAGGTAAGAGTTTCAAATTTTCAACTAGGAATTCCATATATATTATCAATTATTTGTTTTAGAAGAATTTAAATGTGTAGATATAATAAAGAGATCAAAGCAACAAAAAACAGTTCCAGTTTACATTTCTCTATGATTAAAACATTTCAAATAAAAAACTCTGTGAAAGCCTACTGTTAAAACTTGCTTTAGTGTAGCTTTTCAAATTTAAGATGAATTCCTTGGATTAAAATAAATGAAAAAAAGGAACATACCTGAAGATATTTCTGCAGACCTACTATATTTTATTATTTTTTCCAGCTGTTCATGATTCTTTCTGCTGAATAATTTTGCTTTAACAGGCTCTTCAGTCTGGGCTGAATGTCTGTTCCTACTTTTGCAAGGTTCACATGTGCTAGACACACTGGCACTTTCATACCCTCGGGTAAAAAAAGTGACAGCTGTTATCAGTTGCAGCTAACATCCCTGGAAGGGAACTGGTTTCCACAGTAAAACAGTATGAGTCGCTCGATTTAGAGCGGTATAGCAGTCTGACATAAACAGAATACAAAGTAATGTCTTTGAATACCTTCGAAATAACCTTCAGAAGGGTAGAGTAAGAAGAATCAATTCTAACAGTCCAATTACATCTTTTGATTTGTATTGTAACACTTCAACTGAAAGTAAAGCTATGGGAAATCTTATGAGATCTGAATTCTCTACTGGACTTCAAGTTAACATGCTTTCAATGTTAGGAAACACAAAACAGAAACACTACTAAATTTTCTTCCTAAGGTTTTTAAACTTCACATTCATTGTGTTATGTGTCACAACTCAATTTCTTTCCTTCTCCATAGATAGATAGTTGTATCTATCCTTTTCTCACTGAATTGAAATATATGCTGATCAATATATTAACCCTCACATTTCACTCTGTCTTATTTTTGACACAGTTTTAGTCTATTCTCAGATCATTTTTATTCTTTTGGTCACAGAAATGATGCAGTATGTTTTGTAAAGCAAGCCAGATTTAGCTTCTTTCCTTGATTACTTTTAGATATTTATTCTTCTATGTATGCTGAGGCCTTTTTGTGGTTAAGTTTCAAAAACAACCCAAGGCAATGCAAAATAGACTAAAATTAAATGCACTTAATTTGAAGAAGACTTGTATTTAATTTTATACATTTCCATCTTGGAAGGAGCTACATTTTATAATCTTTTTATATTACCCAAAATATATAGCTTTTTAGAAATCTACTATTTTTCTTGTTACTAAATGTTTGTTCACTTACTCAGTCCCCAACTACTTCATCAGTTTATCTTAACATTAATTTCTTCCAGTATATTTGGGTTTTGTCTAGTACACCAAAAACAAAATAAAAGAACAAAAACTGAAACTAACAGAAACAAGTATTTCTCCTTACTAATAGTCATTCCAATTATTCCTGGTCCTAAGTTTCCAAATAAAGATAACCAGATAAACAGGTTAGTAGTAGAGACGGTCCCTCTTTAGTTTCCTATATGTCTGTGAAGTATTTCCATTCTACACTACAAGAGACACTGGTTAATGGCTTTATTATTCTCTACTATTTTTGCTTTCTTTTGTTTCATTAGGAATGACTTCAAATCTAACCTACCACTATGGATATGACTTTTTTCCTGGCAACAAATCATGAGAGTGTTTCTGAAGTAAATTTAACAGTCAATTGTGTAATATTCTTTTGATATATTAGCAGTTGCTAATACTTTATTAATTTTTTATTTTGATAGATGGTCTTGTTCTAATAGCTTAACCTGCCCTTGAACTTGTAGCAACCCTCCTGCATCAGCCACTTTACCTTTCAATTATATACTGAGATTAGTCTGTGTATATGTGTTTGTAGGTATACCTCACAGCTGAGTAGTGGTGGTACATGCCTTTTAACACAGCACTTGGGAGGCTGAGGCAGGAAGATCTCTGAATTACTACAGGCTAGCCTGGTCTACATATTGAATTCCAGAAACACACAAAGAAATCTTATCTCAAAAAACAAATCCAAAACAAAAAACATCACAAAGTATCTATATGTTTTTATCCTTTCTCCATGTCTGTCTATTTTTGGTTCTTTGTGACATGATCTGGTATCACTTTATAGCTCACATACTCATCAGATTCACAGCAATCTTCTTGACTCACCTCTACAGTACTGTGGTTGCAAGTGTATGCAACCATGCCTACCTACTGTACGGTCTTCTTGTCTGTCTTTACACAAAGTTCATCTATTATGAGTAAAATGTTGTTTCCATGGTTTGCTTCAGACAAAGCCTGCTCTCTTAGCTGAATACAGAATCCTTAAATTGCAGTCCCAGTCCACTGTAACTTGCACCTCTTATTTTGTTTGCTTGCTTTGTTTTAATAAATTGGACACAGATCCAGACAGCTTTAAGAAGAAAGTCGTCGGGCTGGGCAATGGTGATGCACACCTTTAATCCCAGCACTCGGGAGGCAGAGACAGGCAGATCTCTGTGAGTTCAAGCCCAGCCTGGTCTACAAAAGCCAGTTCCAGAACATGATTAAAGACCCAAATTAAAATTATTAAAGGTAAGGGCTAGCTTTCTTTTTAATTTTTATATTATATTTTAAATTTTATTTATTATGTATATGTTTAGCTAAGTCAGCATGTAGAGGTCTAGACCAACTTTGGGGAATCTCTCCTTCCACAATGGGGATCTCAGGGATGGAACTTAGATCACTAAGCTTAGTGGCAAGCATCTTTCCCTGATATGCCTGCCATCTTTCCTATCTGAAAGGAAAGAAGATCTGAATTTCTAAGTTACGGTACGAATGTGTAACTAAGGAGTGAGGGCATTTGGGGGTTGTTGTTTTGTTACTGAGACAGTATCTCATAATGAGCCAAGTTGGCTTCAAACTTGCAATTCTTCAGCCTCTTAAGTAACTTCAATTATAGATGTCAGCAAACAGGTTAAGTTTCTTCAAGGGAAACAGCAGAATTAGTAATGTTACTACTTCATATTAACACTGGCCAAGTGAGACAAGACAGTATCGTGAAAGAAAGCATGAGTAACACACGATACTTCGAGGTTCTTATCTCTAATTTCTGACCACAACTCTCTTATGTCTGGGTCTGTTTTACTCAACATGACCGAAACACCTATAATGGCACTTCTACTTATGCCTTTACAGATGGGAAATGCATCAGCCATGGTATTCTGGAGGCCCTGAACATATCCAAACAGTCACTGAAGGAAGAGCTAACCCACTGTTTATCAGTTTCCTGGAACACAGGGATGCTATGTGGCCATTTCTCACTTCCCTCTCTCTCTGGGAGGCTGTCAAGAAAAAAAAAGATGCATGCTTACACCCTCACAAATTCTAATGAAACATGAGAATTTTCTGTCTCACTCCTGCAGGACATCAGTGGACTATAAAATGGCTAAAGATGAAGCTGTGCCCTCCTTCATTTTGTTCCAGTGTTGTTCTTGAATCTTGGTACAATGTATACTGATTTTATTAGTATAGGTGGGCTTCAACAGTCTGTGCATTTCTAATAAGTTTATAGATGTCAATGCTCCTTATCAATGGCTTATATTCTAAATAGCAAGAGTTTAGTTGACCAATTTTTTTCTGTCATACATTATCAACTTTAGTGTTATACTGTTTGATTCTGCTATAAATGGTGCTTCAACAATGGCAGTGAATGCCAGTTGAACAAATGTGAATGTATTATTTGGGCAGGTATCTTTAAAATGGCATAAGAGGGATGACAGTACAAAGGTCAGAATAACAATCTTTGCCCTAACATAAAAAAGCTTAGCCATATTTATATGACGTTGACAGAATAGCCATAATCAGCAATACAAATGACAACAAATATTGGTGAAGATGCTGTGACAGGGGACCTCTTATAAACTGTTAATGGGTATGCTAATCCAAAGGATGGAGTATGGAAAGCTCTACGGAAGCCTACTATCTCAAAATCCATTTGCAAAATATAACTGGAGTGATAGTGGAATACATGTGCTATGAAAGAAGGAAGGGTATACTGGAGGTGGGGAGAATAAAGGACTAACCAAGAATGGAGGCTGGGGATAGCGTAGAAGAGGGGATAGAGATCGTGAATTAATCAAAACAAAGGAAACCATGTCAGTAAGTTAATTTCAAAAACAAAAAGAAATGTTTGCATGAAATTATTCTGCATTGGTGGACAAAATAGCTCCCAGAGGAGATAAATTATTATATGCAAGTTGCAATGAAAGGCAGGAGATACCTCCCTACAAGTTATTGGTCAGGGAGAGTCCAACGGTATACAAAACACCACAGGATACTGGGAAGTGGGATTCTGAACTGGCCTATAGGTAAGTCTCTTGGGCATTCCCTTAATGATTATGTAGGAAGAATCAGCCCACTGTGGGTGATGTCAACATTGGGCAGGTGGTCCTGGAAGAAGAAAACAGGCTGTGCAAGCCAGGAGGAGCAAGTCAGTAAGCATCACTCCTCCATAGCTTTTGCTTTAGTTTCTAACTCCAGGTTTCTGCCCTAACTTTCCTTCATGATGGCTTACAACTAAGGACTCAAAGCTTTCCCTCCCCAAGTTGCTTTTGGTCTTTTATCACAGAAAAAGAAACCCTAAGACATCCACCGTAACTCCATGGATAAGACCCTATTGCTAAAGAAACAACACACTATTATTGTATGCCATAGAGATATCAATCTCAAACCAATAGGAAACTTCCTTTCTATTGGTTAGCTTTCATAATGCCAGTTATGAAAGGTGCTGAGAGAGAAAAGACACCAAAGGTCTTACCCAGTGCTGGATCCTGCATGATCACAACAAATGGAGTAACAAGATGGGCCCACTGGTGCAATACTGACAGGATTTGAGCCCTGCACCAAAGGAGGGAATTTCATGCCTGGTACTGGGGAGGTCTTAGGCCTTACAACTGAATCTGCTATTACTTTTCTAAATGGCCGTTGTAAAATTGCCTTTGAAATATCTGTTTATATCCATAGATGAGGGATGCTCTAAGCCTTGGTCCGAAAGGCTTCTTCTTTTTTTTCCCCAGTGGACAGCAACCATTGCAAAGATGCAAAACTAGTCAAACTGCTGAGAAGAAACTGAGCACATAGTCCTCAATAGGACATCTCTATCAACAGTATCCCCTAAGTACCAAGTTTCCAGGTATGTCTTGGAAGAGAAGGTAGCAAGAATGTAAGAGCCAGAGGACGGAGAAAAGTGCAGTAAAATGCTGTCTTCTAGATATGACATGATTACAGAACTCAGAAATCCACAGTAGCTATAGTTACCCTGCACAAGATCAAGCCAGTCAAACCCTGGCGTAGACAAATGGGGGAGATGCTCTTTAGGCCTCGTTCCTTAATTTGGAGTGATTGGCATTTGATAGCTGCTGGGGGAGAAAGAATCAGAAAACTGAAGGTGTTTTCACGGTAACACTTCCTGTGCTCCAGTGGATAACCCCACATGTATGCACAGCACTAATTGGACTTAGTGGGTTATCAAAAAAGACATCTTTTTTTCTCATTGGTCACCTGAAGGCAAGATGAGTCACAAGCAGCTCTACTAGAGTCGCCCGCAGAAGTTCGGCCAGGGTTCTTATTTATTTTCAAGCCTACTGAAACAACTACGGTCTGATGGAGAAATATAAACTGAACAAGTTTTGGCAATGTTTCCATCTGTTTGCAAAGGACACAGGTTTCATAAAGTTGGACTAAACAACCTTTCTTGAATGGATTATTCAAGGCCATCTCAGTGAAAGAGATCATGCAATTCTTTGTACATAAAAATTTTAGACCTTCAAAGAAAAAAAAGACAAAAAACTGAGAAGGTGACATGTTGGGGAATATGTGCACAGCTGGATGAGAAAAATGGGGTTGGGTATGTTATTTCATTTTACAGAACATGAAATTCTCAAGAAAGAAGACAAATTATAATTTAAAAGAAGTAAAATTGTTTCACAATAATATAGATCTGTTTTTTGTTTGCTTGTTTATTAAAAAGAGTTTTAGTAGGTAGCCTAGTCTGACTTGAACTCTCAATCCTCCTTTTGATGAATCTGAATCTATACTTAAAACAGTATTCTATGGGAGTTCCATATGAGACCTTAAAAAGTTTAAGGAGCAATGCCCTCAGCACATCAAATTATCTAGCTAAATGAGAGAACGTTACAATAAAAATTGTTCACATTCCTTTAGTTATATATCAGAATATTTGTGGGAACACTAGGAAATACAAAATTATGTGACGGTTCATAGGGTCTGTTTCAGAGAAAAGCAACATTATCTACTTGAATGGTTCTATGGTTTTACCAAACTTAAGCATGTGAATTTATCTATAATACTCAAGTTTAACTAATAAAACTACTTTCAATCTAGTACTTTGGTAAACTTTTAAGAAAATTATAGAAGAACCTACTTTTTAAAAGCAAGTACACATAGTAGTGCTATAAAGAGAACTTTAACATAATATTTAAAAACAAAATTTAATGAAACACTAGTTTATCTACAAGTAAGCCTATTTTAAAAGTCATTTCATTTATGGTAATAAAAAGCAACAATGTATTAAATATTAGAAGCCCATTAAGCAAATTATCAAGAATCTAAGAAAACTTAATTAAAATTCAATGCAGTGCCATGATATAACACTGGAAGACAAAAAGTAAGTAAAATTTGGGTATCTAGGCAACTTTATAGTAACGTAAAATTTGGAGACCATCTGTTCAGCTGAGTCTTGACAGTTGACAGTTGACTTGACAGCTGGGAGAGAATCATTCTTTTTTGGAAGTGTTCTCACTATCAGCATTTCCTCCAGTGTATGGCTCCACACCCATATACATATGGGCTACACTAACTGGATTTAGTGGGTTTGGGTGGGGGGAGGAAAGAAAAGAAAAAGATATGACACTGGAAGGAGAAGGAGAAGCATGCTGGTGTGCATTTGTGTATAGACACACACACACACACACACATATGAAACAAGAAAGTTTAAAAGCACAAAAAATAAATGCAAAACTTTAAAATAATTAAATGTTACTTAGAAATTTAAAAATTATAAAGCTAAGTAAAAATGTTTGAATTAGGCCTCAACAATACCTATACATCTAGCTATACACAAAAAAATTAAGACCAACATTCACTATACTTATGTTATAAATGCTCAAGAAATTTCAAAACTTACCAATATTTTTAACTCTACTTTTCAGCTGAGAAGAGTTCCTCTTCTTACTCTTCGATTTGGGAGTTTTGTCTTTAGAAGCCAGGCTAGCTTGGGCAGATGCTTTTCTTGTCTTAAATGTTTTAGTTACTGTTGTTGGATCTATGGGATCGGGCATACTGCTAAAGCTTTCCAATGATTCTTCATCAAAATGGCGTCTTCTCCTGCTTGTATCTGGTTGATTTTTGCGGTTACTATTTGGGGTTTTCTCTACAGACACTGCAAATCCAGTCTTGAAAAGTGGTTTTTCTACTACTCCTTCTTGATCATATAACCATGGTGTCTTGGTGTTTTCAACTTCCTCTTCATGCTGCTTCTGATTCCTTACCAATATAGAGTTTAGATATCACAATTAAGATTTATTTTTATCTACTAAAATCTCTACACATGGAATAGATTTATATGAATAAAATCATCAAGCTAGGAAAATGTTCTCACAAAAACATGCATTCAGTGTGCAAATACTATGTGTTACAAATTACTTTTATCTTGGACCCTGTCTCAAAAAGCCAAAAATTAAAAATAAAATAGAGGTTAAAATAAAGTCACATAAAGATGAAAAATACACAGAATCTGGATGCTGTATGTTATTATGCTCTCTTTGAATTGTTTGAATGCTGAGGAAGGAGCAAGAGCTGCCAAAAGATATTTGTTTATAAGTGCTGAATTAATCCATGTTAGGTATTTTGAAAATACCTTCACTTCAAAATTGAAGTCAAAGGTATGCTACTTTGGAGAAGAAGTTTTGCTTTTGTTTCCACAGAAAATGAAAGGCTATTCTCATTTTTATTTAATTTATTCTGAGTTAAGAAAAATCAAAATTGATCAACGAAGACCACCTGAGATCTCCGGTAGGAACAGATAGCCCGGATGTCTGAGTTCTACATCCAGAACAGATTCAAGATGCTCCAGTCAGGACTTGATCACAATTCTAAATTCTCTTTAGGTCCTCATAAGATTATCAGTGCCCCCAACCAGCAGGAAGTAGCCTAGAAAACTATGCCCACATCCCCAAAAAATGGACTTTGGATAATGGTCAGGAGAAAAGACAAACAGAGGATATTAGATTCAGAGTTCTTGTTTTTTAGTTTTTTTAAAAAGAGGGGGAAGTGGTGTGGGACAATGATCTGTATTCTGTCAATTATACTTTAAATAAATGCTGATTGGCCAGTAGTCAGGCAGGAAGTATAGGTGGGACAACCAGACAGGAAGTAGAGGCGGGTCAATGAGAACAGGAGAATTCTGGGAAGATGAAAGCTTGATCTGCAGTCCTGGCCCAGCCACAGAGCAAGCAAGATGTGACTACCTTGCTGAAAAAGGTACCAAGTCATGTGGCTAACATAGACAAGAATAATGGGCTAATTAATACATGTTTTAATAGTTAATAAGAAGCCTGAGCTAATGGGCCAATCAGTTTATAGTTAATGTAGGCCTCTGTGTGATTTCTTTGGGACTCAACAATTGCAGGAACTGATAGGACAGAAAATTCAGATAACATTCAACAAACAGTGGCAAATGCTAATTTTGGAAGTTGAGACATGCCCAATCATATTACTAAGGGGGGCGTATAGAGTGGATTATATATTTCCAAAGGGCTGAGGTAGGAAAAGAAAATCACAAAGACACTTCTAACAGAACATTGGGTCCATCTGATATCTAAGTTTTTATTCTTCTAGTTTTTTAAAAAAGTAACAATGAGACTACAGGCAGTATTCTTGTAAATTACCTTACCTTTTACAGTGTGCTTAATATGCCTATTTTCTCCAAGAACAAACAAACTAAAAAAGATTATAAGGATTCTTTTTAAATTAGCTACCAAAATAATTTTCTGGATTAAAATAATTATAAAACTTATTTTTATAGCTGTAAAAACGCTAAAAAATGATGGTTGGAGTCAGAGCTCTTCTTTTATACTACTGTGCCAGAGAATATAGCTAGGGAAATTATCATATTAAAAATTAATAAATATGAGAAAGAATATAAAATCTTATGAATGATATCATGTACTATCAAAACTTCCTAGATAAAAGTTTATTTGACAGAATTTTATTATGTAGCCCTCACTGGACCAGAACTCAGTATATAGACCAGGCTGGCTTTGAACTCCAAAGATCTGCCTGCCTCTGTCTCTGCCTCTGTCTCCCAAGCATTGGGATTCAAGACATGAATACCATGTCCAGCTAAAAGTTGTTTTTATAATAAAATAATATCCTATATAATAATATTTGAATTGTCTACAGAGGCTACAAATCAAATAACTATTCCCTAGCAGTTACTCTCAGTTTCACTGAGCTTTTTTAACCTAAAAGGAAACATCAAATCCAGAATAAATCATACATTTCTGGTGACGTCATATGAATCTCATAAGATAACCTGGACCAAAACTCTGGCAGTTGGACAAGGATCAGTTCTTCAGCTCGGGGGATAGCTATAAGATGTATAAACTTCATATAACCAATACTATATATTAAGGTACTATATATCACAAAAATTGTCCCTGTGTTATGTCACATAATAGGTGGGCCACCAAAATAGGTTAGCATGTAAATGCTGCCAAGCCTATTAAACTGTGTTTGATCCCTAGGACCCACATGGTGTAAAGAGAGAACCTACTTACTCTCTCAAATTTTCCTTTGACTAACACACACACACACACACACACACTCACACACAATGTAATATTAAAAAATTTTAAGTGAATGGTAAAACATCAGACTTTGATACAATCAATACCTTTGCTTTTCTGCTCCAAAAGAAGAATTGCTTTCAAAGGGTTTTGGAAAAGCCATATACTCTGCTTTCCCTGAAGAATTCTGGGCTAATGGTTGCTGCTGTTCAGTAGGTGTAGAAACATTCTGAGAAAAATCTCCAAAATTAGAAGGAAATAAAGGGCTGAAATTCATTCCTAATAAAAACACAGGAAAAAAAAAGAATAAAGAAGTACCTTAGCCTCAAATGAAATAAAAACTTATTCTTAAGAGCTTTAACTGACTAAATATTCAGTCCAAACCTATCAAAACAAACTGCTAGTTCAATAAAGTAATGCTCATATATTTACTACTTATAGCTCAGCCTACTACATGAGATATTTGTGATACTAAAGTAATTAATGGTTCTCTCTTAAGAACTAGAAGTCAAGACTAGAGAGATAGCACTAATATACCTCCTAAGAGCACCAGCTGCTCTTCCAGATGACCAGGGTTTGATTCCCAGAACCTATTTGGCAACTCACAGCTATTTGGAATTCATGTCTCAGGGGATCCTACAACCTATTCTGGCCTCTAAGGACACTGCACACATGTGATACACATGCATTGAAAGACATATAAAAATAATACATAAAAAGGAAAAAAAACAATAAACTAGAAGTTACAAGAGCAAAGAGACGGATGGCTCAGCAGTCAAGAACATAAACTCTTCTTGCAGACAGAGTTCAGTTCCCTGAACCACATACTCAGTTTCAGGGGATATGACACCCTCCTCTAGCCTCAATGGGTACTGTACTCATGTGCACAAATCCACATTCAAACACAGATATATATACATAATTAAGAATCAAAATTTAAAATCTTAAAAAAAAGTACTAGAAGTCATAACTAACAGTGCTTTTATCAAATTATCATTGGGTGTCAGACTTAAGGATAAGTACTTTATATACAATTTCACTTAATATTCAAAGTAATGCTATAAAATTGATAATAATTCATTAACTCATTTGGCATGGGTATGAATATTAGTAATAACATGAACATGAAAATGAGTATCAGCTGTATCTTGTCATTTATTACTTAAAGTAAAGTCTACTCAAACAATATTTGCTATCAATATTAGTCAATACTCATGAAGTAAAAAAGTTCAAATTTTAATGCCCATGCTTTGAAATCATGTTAAGAAAATACACTGTGGAATATGGATATTAATATTTATGAAAGATTCTCAACCTTTATGTTTTCTATATTCCTCAGCAAATACATTCAATTCTTCCTTCTTGATCACCTGGTCACTTAGCCTATTCTAATACTTTCAACTGTTTTCTTTACCATTAGTGTCATCCTTTACTACTGTTGAACTAACACTCTTTTTTTAACATCACTATGAAAGCCTTCTAGTCAATTACACTCCTAGCTCCTCCCTCCAATCCCTCAATAGTATGACAGGAAAATTTCCATTGATAGTATAACAGTATGATCATCATCAATAGTATGACAGTACAATCTCCCTCGATAGCATGTATGGCAGTATAATCATCCTCAATAATATGACAGTATAATTTTCTTCAATAGTGTGACAGTATAATCTCCCAATAGTATGACAGTATAGTCTCCCTCGATAGTATGATGGTATAGTCTCCCTCAATAGTATGACGATATAATCTTCTTCAACAGTATGATGTTATAATCTTCCTCAATAGTATGACGGTATAGTCATCCTCAATAGTATGACAATATAATCTTCCTCAATAGTATGAAAGTATAATCTTCCTGAAATAAAAATCTCATGTACTTTCCTGCTCAGAGTATTTCTGTAATACCTCTTGATTGCAATGTAAAACTTAAGCTTTCTTTGCACACCACAAAAGGCCTTTGCTACTCTTCAGCCACACCAATCACTTCCCTGCTTTGGCTCTGAGCACTAGGCACACTAAACTACCTCTAAAGTCTCCAAATGATATTAATGCTCTGAAACTCTTAAATAGTTCTACTGGCTAAAATGCTTTTTCCATTTTAATCATTAAGGAAATAATGACCCTATTCACCCTTTAGCTTATATACCATCTTTTCTAAAACCAACTTGCTCATATTCTCTAAGTATTTGTATCCTTTTTAAAACAACCATTGCACTGCTATAAGCATTGATTAACATTATTACCTTCCTAATTAGATCCTAAATTCCTTTTAAGATTTATCTTAACTCATCTTTGGATCCCAGCAATATATAGTACCTGGCATATAACAGAGGGAAAGCAAAGCAAAGCAAATAACATAAAAACACCTAAAACCATCTTAATAAAAGCCTACACTAAATGCACCCACCAAGATATGGCTTCTCTTAAGTACTATCTTATTCATCTTTAACTTCGTAATGTTTTGCCTGGTGACAGTAGCCCTCAAACAAGATCAGTATCTTTCCCCTTAATAAATAAATACCTGAGTTTTGTTAGCAGTCATGTTTATTAACTTTTCATTAGAACAATGTAGGAAAAGGTAACTTTAATAGCTTCTCTTTCAACTCTAAAGCATGCCAAAAATTCTACAAGACATTCACAACTGATCAAAGTAAAGGGAATAAGTGTCAATGAAGTGCTCAGGTACAAATGGGACATTTATAATGCAGGCCCTCCCCACATAGCTCAGGGAACATCTAGGAAGGAGAGACAAAGAGTTTTTAAGAGCTAGAGTTTGAGGAAAGTCAGACTGAACAGTGAACAGTGTCTTTCAACATAACAGGCTGATTGTTGTTGCTTTCATGAATCTGCAGCAACTGCGCTGTCTGCAGAAGGCTTACAAATGATCAAGCCAGTCAACATTTTAGCATAAAAGAGGGAGGGGTTCTTAAGTTCCCCAGCTTCCCACCCCTAGCCAAGGAGCTACTGACAAAGTGATGTTACAGAAGAGTTAAAGAGTGATGGCTCTGAAGGTAGGGAGAGTTAGTATTCTTTAAGGTTGCAGTCCCTAGCAGGTTAACCACGCTTCAGTGGATGGCCCCACACACAGCAGTTTATGGGCAGCTAAATTAGATTTGGTCATTTTTTAAAAAGTATGAAAAGTTGAGAGAGGGTAGAGGGTGTATTTGGAAAAGTATGGAGGATGACTGGGCAATAAATATGACCACAATACATTTTATGCATGTAGGAAATTTCCAAGGAATAATAGTTATGCATTATTTTAAAACATTCATGTAATATACATGGAAAGGGGGTTCACAAAGCCCTATTTCTTCTTGAAAAGCTACTGTCAATTGATCGTTGTACATACTAGCAGGCTAAGTGGGCTTGGTAGCTTTAAAAACAAAACAAACAAACAAAAAAATAGCACATGAAGTTGGGAGGTCAAAGTGGTGATGTGGGATATAGGAAAAGTTCATATAGAGGGGAAATTTGCTCCAAACATTATATGCATATAAAAAACTGAACCAATAAAAAAGGAAAACCAGTATAATAGAAATTAGAATCTCAAACTCTTTCTTTTTGGAGACAGATCTTGTTTAGTCCAGTTTGGCCTCAAACTCATTGTGTACCTGAGACTGGCCTTGAGTTCCTAATCCTACTACTGCCTCTACTTCCTTAGTGCTGGAATTTTAGGCATGCAGTATCATAACCAGATCAAAATCTTTGCATTTACTTATTTTTCCTTCAGGTTTCCAGTTACTTACCTTGTGCAAATGATGGAAAGTTAGTAAATCCAGGAAGATTCAACAGATTTACAGGCTGTGTTGGAAAGCTGAAAGGACAAAATAAATTGGGAGAAGAGGGGTGTGATGCACTACTGCCTCTTTCTTTGCTTCTAGTTTTCTCTGGATGTTGACTTTGTTGACGCATAAGTTCAGTTAGCATTTGTTTTAACCTACAAAAAAGTAAGCCAGTAATTTAAAACTCAGTTAAAAGTACCAGCAACAAAAAAGGTCTACTTTAAAAGTCAAACAACAATCAATATAATAGTACCATCAACAAACTAAATTAAAAAGCAGTACACATAAGAAATGACTGAACAGCACTCAGAATAGCCAGGCTACTCTGATCCTATAAGTATCTGCTTGCTCTGCTGGCCTAATTCAATAAATTAGCTGTTGGAACAAGTACTGAGCTTAGTACTAACAGACATAGGTGTAAATGTCAGAACCTAAATTTACTGTGGTATAAATTATATACTATATACTTTATCCAACATTAAGTATAAAATTTAATACCAATTTTATAAATAAATCTCAGGCCCACAGTAGCAGATCATGGCTTGTAAGTTTCAGGAAATAGACTGGCAGCAGTTTGGCCCTAGTCTTTCTCTCCCTGAAGGTAACTGTAAACTCTCCTTTCATTTTAGCACTACTGTACAGGAGTAACACTTGTGATCAAGCAGATTACCTCTGAACGTTATTCTGTTGCCACGTTAGTTGTGTGTAGCACTGGTTCAGCTGGTGCATTATAAGGTGTACCTGAGGAGATGTCACATTGCTTGGCATAACGCTGTAAGGACCTGTTAGAAGAGTTTGCAGCAAACAAGATAAAGTCTGTTGGAAGAAAATTTTGGCAACAGTTAACCAATGTCTTGAAGAAAATGTGTACTGCTTCAAAACTATGTAAATTAAAAGAATACATTTCAAAGATGCAATTTACCTGCTGGTCTTGCATCAAAGTCTGACAAATATTGACACTGAAATCAAGTTGTTTCTTTAGCTGATTAATTTGTTCTTGCCACTGCTCTTTCTCTTCTATGTAAGAGAGCTCTGATATCCATCGAAGGTTTTCTTGTCGTTGCATGCTGATATTCTGTTGCCTTGTCTTGGCTAAAGGACGATAATTTCCATCTGCTGAAACAGGGCGATTATTCTTCCACCTAATGGAGAATTTAGAACCTTAAGTCAACACATGTGAGAATTTGAATTTTAAAATATAGTAACAAACATCAAATCCTATTCTACAGACTAGTATTTCTTTCATCAGTATCAAACAAGAAAAATATATAGGAAAAAAAGTCAGACTTCCAGACCATCCAATTATTCTCTAATAGCTTTCTAGTTTTTCTCATTTGTATTCTTACACTTTAATATAACTATATTCTACAAAATAAAAACAATCTTTTGACTAGAGCACTTTTTTATTCTTCAAGGTCTACTTCATCAAGTAGCAATATTATATCTAGTTAACATGTATTTACTCACTAAATTTTATCACTACTAGAAGTAATAATGCAGACCAGAGACAAGAGAACACTTGCCACCAACCCTGATAACCTGAGTTCAATCCCAGAGACCCACAGGCAGAAAGAGAGAATCTACCCCTGCAAGGTATGCTTGTACCTCCATTTGTGCACCATGACACAAATGCATATACAAAAACATGCACACACAAAAAATATAATTAAAAAAATCATAAATAACAATTAGTATTGCTTCCTGCTGTTTTTGCTTTGCTTTGTTTTAAAGACAGGGTCTCACTACATTGTTCTGGTCTCAAGTGATCCTTTCAAGCAACAACTAAGTTGGGTGGTGGGTGGTGGCACACGCCTTTAATCCCAGCACTTGGGAGGCAAAGGCAAGCTGATCTCTGTGAGTTTGAGGCCAGCCTGATCTACAAAAGCAAGTTCCAGGACAGGCACCAAAGTTACACAAAGAAACCCTCTCTTGGGAAAAAAAAAAAAAAAAGAAAGAAAGAAAAAGAAAAAAAAATTCAAGCAACAGCCAAGACTTTTAGGATATACCACTGTTGCTAGTAATACAGTTAGTTTATTAACATAACTTTTTCACCATATGAAATGTTTTATTTTTTGCTTAATTCTCCCCAACAGAAGCAAAGATGAAAGCTTAGGAACGATTCTTGATCTGGTCAAGGTGGGATCTATTGCAGCAACATCTTTATGTTAAAAATGAAATATGAATCTAGTTTAAGAACTACCCAGTGTTCTGTGTGCCCCCACCCCTAAAATTTTAGAATCTCCTGAGTGGCAGATTCTCTATTTAGAGTAAGCCCCTTTTAACCAAGACAAAACTTATAACAAAGATACAATCCTTAGAAAGCCCTTGGGGGGGGGGGGGAGTTTCTCCTGAAAAACCAATTATGTCACTAAAGAGCAGTTACTTCCAGACCCACCCACTGACCTTTAGGGGAAGAAATGGAACCAGAGATTGAGTCTGATTATCAATGGCCTATTTATTTAGTCAATCATGGCTACATAAAGAAACTTACTTCCATAAAATCTCTTTAATAATGACTTCAGAGAATTTCAAGGGTGGTGACCAATGAAAGTGCTTATATCCAAAGGCATGGAAGCTCTCCACACTTCCTCACTCTAGACTCATTCCTCATAACTATTCCACAAAGGTCAAGACTTCAGAATAAACTGGTAAAGTGATTTCCTGAGTTGTAGCAAATTATTAAATCTAAAGACAGACTGAGGAAACTCTCACTTTAGTCAATACAGGAGAATACAATTAAGTTGGGCACTTAGACTGGAAATATTCTTGTAGGACTAATCTGTGAGATCTGCATTACCTTTGAGTAGTTGGTACCATTACTGAACCAAAATTTAAGGTACTTGATTAATTAGTTGATTTGAACCACAGAATTTTTGGTACCATAAAAACTTGATTCAAATAAAATTTTAACACTGAAACTAACCTATTTTTAGTTTCCTTTACATTATAAGAATTTTGATTTATACTAGGGTGATAACTAGGAAAGTTATCATTGGAACTGGCATCTTGCTCTTCTTCTTCTTCTTCTTCATCTGTCCGAACAATTCCTTCTGAAAGGTAACCATCTTCATCTCCTTCTTCATCTAATGCACACTGAGTAGAACCTCCCCAAGTTGCCATTGTTCTAGGGATAATGAGACATAAAACAGGCATCATTATGGAGAATAGCTAGATATTTTAAGAGTTACAATGCTCAAGATTTATTTAGATATATATGAAAGCATAAACATATACAAAATTATAATAATTACAAAAATTATAATAATTCTGTGAGATGCTATCTTCTGTTGCTGTCATACAAATGTGTAGCTTGCCTTCCACAAAAAAAATATTTCATAGAAATTAAAATAATCATCACATCTGGAAATTTTTTTCCCAAACTAAACTTCCCTCAGCCATTCCCTAGGTGATAGCACTCTATTCTGGTGCTACCTAACAGAGCTTTCTGCAATAGTGGTAATGATCTATATCGGTGCTGCCCTATGCAGCAGATATAGATACATATGAATACTAAGCACTTAAAATTTTACCCACGTGACTAGAGAGAAAATGAACTAACTTTAACTTGCTTTAAATAGCCACCATATCTACTGGTATATTAAAACACACAACTCTAGACCTAGACATGCTAAACTGTCTCCTTTCACAATCCCTTTCAAGAAATTTTTACATGCCCTGAGTATAAAGATGTATCAAATAGCTATGCAATCTAAACATCTTCTGATAATCCAATTTATTTTTAAAAATTCTTTGGCATATATAAACACAATCTTATCATTTATTAAAAAATACTAAGGGGACGATATACTTGTTTATTTTTACACAAATAATTAATCCTGGCTAAGTGGTGGGGGCACACACACCTTTAATTCCAGCACTTGGGAGGCAGAGGCAAGTGGATCTCTGAATTCGACCAGTCTGGTCTACAGAATGAGTTTCAAGACAGCTAGGGCTTCACAGAGAAACCCTGTCTCAAAAAGAAAAAGGAAGGAAGGAAGGAAGGAAGGAGGGAGGGAGGGAGGGAGGGAGGGAGGGAGGGAGGGAGGGAGGGAGGAAGGAAGGAAGGAAGGAAGGAAGGAAGGAAGGAAGGAAGGAAAACCTTTGGGGGACTAGACTAGAGAGATGGCTCAGGAGTTAAGAGCACTTGCTTTTCTTTCATGGAACCTCAGTTTACTCTTCTGCATCCACAGAAGACAAGCTCACAACCGCCTACAACTACAGCTCTATGGAGATCCAATGGCTATAGCCTCCACAGGCATACGTGCTGGCATATACATACTCCTATACATGCACATACATAATTGAAAAATAAAATAGAAATTAATTAAAATGGTAGAAATATTTGAGACTGGAGTACAGAAGATCTTTATCGTTTTCCAGTTCATACTTTGAGCTCATAATTTTAAATGTTTAGAATTCTACTTTGCATAAGTGAGTAATACAAAATGTTTAAGATCATCTTGTAAAATATTGGAAAAATCTATCCTAATCAAGCCCAAATTCATTTTTTATAAATTCAAAAGTCAGCAACTCAAAGTAAATTTTTTACATAAAACAATAGAACAAAAAATAGTGCAAAGACAGACTAAATTTGATGTTAACAGGATGAGATATGATAAAAAATTAAATGTTTTCATAATTAAACTTGTTAAAAGTGGAAGATTTTGTATGTGCAGTAAAAACACAGCAATTCATACCACACAAATGTTTGAGGCAGTCTTTGTCAATATGTTGGGGTGGCCTTGTAGGCAGTACATGTATATTTCTTAAAGCCAAGGCTATAGTTAAATCACATGCTGCAACACAGGTTGGCAATACTGTAAAGACCTTGGATTCACTTTGCATTTAATTCTGAATATTTTTTGGCTGAATATATTAATAATAAATTGATTCTGAATATATTTTGTATGACTGAAATAAGCAAAAAATTTTGCAAGTCCTGCCCCCACTCAGTTGCATTCAGTAACATGAACCCATAGGAGGGGGTCACAAGCCACAGGTTAAGAAATGAGTCTCTACACTAATGATTCTGAAGCCAGATGCTCATCAAAAATATCTCAAGACTTCTGTGAAAGAGCAAATGCTCTGCAGAAGAGAATAGAATATGATATAAATAAAATGTACATTGAGACTTCACAAGTATGAAAACTTCTAAGAGAGCATGTGAAACATTCTGAAAATGCCATCTGATAAGGCTTCAACCTATCTAGGTTTCAAAATGTTAGATTAGTTACTACTATATAGCTAGTTAACTTATCTTACAAATAACTAATTCTTTTACAAATTTTCCAAATGTGGACCCTTCAAACATATTTCTAAGAATTTAATGTTTTATATAAAAATACTTTATGATTATTCTCAGGAACCTTACAAATGGTAGATACACAATTTAAAATAAAAAGTATTTCAGCAGGGAGGTGGTGGTGCACAACTTTAATTACAGCCCTGAGGAGGCAGAAGCAGGAGGATCTCTGCACACTGGAGGCCAGCCTGGTCTATAAGAGCTAGTTCCAGGACAAGCTCCAAAGCTAGAGAAACCTGTCTCGAATAATCAACAACAAAAACAAACAAACAAATAAATAAAGTAAAAAGTATTTCAACTGGGCATGATGGAACTTGCCTATAATCTCAGCCCTGAAGAGGTGGAGGCAAGAAGCAAGTTCAAGGTTATTTTGAGCTCCACAAGGAGTTCAAGGCCACTCTTTGTTACCTGAAACTCTGCCACAAAACAATATATCTCTAGTCTAAAAAACAGCACCACAAAGCATCACATTTTTTCATTTTATAAGTATAAAACTTTGCAAAGAAAGTAAAATTTGAAAGATCATCTGGCAGGAGTGGTGCAGACAGATCTTTTCGAGTTTAAGGACAGCCAGAACTGCAAAACAGAGAAACCCTGTCTCGGTAAAACAAAACAAAACAACAAACAAACAAAACATTTGATCAAATACTGTAAAATACCAAAGTAACTGAAACAGAAAGAGAAGCTGCAGAACAGAAAATGGCTGGCTAGAATGAGTCCTTAGTCACATATGGAAAAATAGCTGCTCAGTCAAACACTTGACTTGTGCTGTATTGTGTAGGAAAATGAGTCTGCCTTGCTTTTAAGTTCTGGGTAAATGATATTTTAAAAATATGTTTTAAACAACTTTCTTACTTTTCTGTTCTGCTTTGCTGAGGGGTACACAGGTTCTCAGATCCATCACTTCTCAATGATGCAGCCACTGGAGAAGAAGCCTCAGCTAGCCCTTGCCTCCTCTGGTGTTCAGCCATGAGAGCTTCAAGTTGCTTCCTTCTCTGTCGTAGTTCTTCCCTTAACATTTCATGTCTTCGCATATCTGACCACAACTATTATTTTAAAATTCAGAGTCAAGTAAATATTTGGATTTGTTGAAGCCTTAAAGAATAGAAGTCTTAATGATATTGTCTACTGCCAATGTTTCCACTTTCATTCTACGATATCCATCTAGGGAACTAGAGAAATCACTCAGTGGTTAAGGATGTATACTGCTCTTGCAAACTCTTGGATCTGAATTTAGCTCCCAGCACCATTATCAAGTGGCCCACAACTGCCCCTAACTCTAGATCCCAGGGATACCTGACACCTGTGACCTCCAAGGACATCTACACTCACTTGTATATACCCCCCAACAACCCACACACAATTAAAAATACTAAAGCTAAAATCTTTTAGAGATGTTCATAAGGGTTAAATAGTATTTTAGGGATAAGATAAAGGCAGTCATCAGTTGTTTGGGAAATCAAGAAATGCTCATGAACTATTTGGGAAAAGCTATAATACTTTTCTACAAATCAAATATAAATGAAATACTCAATAGGCCTTTCTAATTAAAATGATTTATGTTTGCTATAACTGTTCCTCATATTTGCTAATAAAGAATTTGACTATTTTAAATCAATACCAGCATAATTTGGGGTAAGATTTGTTCCCCCTAAAAAAGCGACACAGAAAATATACTTCACATATATCATCCATCTAGTAGGTCAAAGGCCCCAAAGACCCATCCCAAGAGCACCTTTTCCCCCACCCTTCCCCGCAAAAAAACTATTTTACAGATTTGGGAGTTAGGATTCCACAACACAGTAGACTGTACCATACCTCATTATCCACTACTGAAGACTCTTCAGGCTCAACAACAGATTTGCTTGTGCTGGTCTCATTTTCATTAACAGTTGGAGTTGAAGTAATAGCTGGGAGATACTTTTTGGTGGGACCACTACTTATACTAGTGGCTGAGAGCTAAATGAACAACAACAACAAAAACAAATCAAATGTATATGTATATATATAAAACAAATATTACTATAAAGTACTAAAATAACTGAATTTATCTCATAGTTATTTTACTTCTCTAGAGCTCTAGTGCCGTATTTAATCTGACATTGAGACTAAAATCGCCACCATGATCCAAAGACAACAGAAGAGAACAAAGATGATAACAGGCTGAAGGTGATGAGAAGTAAATAATCAGGAACAGTAAAAACAACAGAATCAAATACTGGGGAGGGGGAGTTTACACTAAACCCAACCTTGGCATATACTCATCTGGATATTATTTATATTGGGAATAAAAGACAAAAGGATTAGAAAAAATAGAAAAAGTACAAACTTAGAAAATATTTGTATTAGAAACAATTTGATGTTCTTTTTTCAAAAACAAAACATGGGGCTAGAGAGATGGCTGAGAGGTTAAGAGCACTGGCTCCTCTTCCAGAGGACCAAGGGTCAGTTCCCAGCACCCACATGGCAGCTCATAACTGTCTGTAAGTCCAGTTCCAGGGGATCTGACACCTTCACACCAATGCATATAAAAATAAAGTTAAATAAATTATTTTAAAAAGCCCAATACCAAAATAGAAGCAATCATTTGATTCCCATGTACTACCTTACAAAGTAAAAACATAACCCAAATCCATTTCATTATTCATTCATTTCAGCAATCAGAAAATTAGCGGTAAAGACAGAATACTTTAAACTGACATTAAGTTTTAAACATTTTTCAAGCACACTGAAAGAAATAAATTTATAATTACCTGAAGGTCGGGGCATGCCTTTTGCACAGCTTGAATTTTCTCTTGAATTTCAATCAATTTCTTTCTTTCCTCCTGCAACTGTTTCAGCTCTCTCTGTTGCTGCTGTAGTTTAGCCTCATAAAATTTCTCTCTATAATTAAAGTGACATTATTTGTGAACTTCAATAAAATTATACTAAGCTAAAAACAACATAGTGAAACCCTTGCTAAATAACTGGTTTTGAACTTTTATATGAAAGCCAAAAGCTTATCATACCTTGTTTTTTCATGTACTCCAGTGTCTTTTTGTGTTTTATTAGAATTTTCTCTTGCATTATTTGAATTTTGTTTAGTATCTTCTGCTGCTGCATAGAAATCACCCAAATTTGATGTATTGGCAGAGACACTCACTTGAGCTGCGTCATCATCCTAAAACAGCACATTATATAAAACTATTTGGAAATCCAAAGACATTATCAAATTTATACTTTATATAATTTACTAGGCTATAAAGCATAATACAATTAATACCACAGAGGATATAAATACTTTTACAGAAAACCAAAGTGTATCTTATATCAATGATAAATTAAGTGCTAAAACTAAAATGAGCCCATTAAAAATTTTTATTTGCAGTTCTGGGCATTGAATGTTTTATATGCCCAAGGCCCTAACATGACCATCTATTGCCATGTACTGTCTTGCATGACCTTATAACACTCAGTCAGAATGTGGACCCTTAATACCTCCAAACTGTAAACTATATGAGTTTTTTTTCTTACCCAACCTCAGATATTTCATTAGTGTTATGAATTAAGAAATCTTTACAAATTAACTAGCTATTTCTTATTTTGTTGAGATAATGGGCAGCTATCAAAGAATAGCTTTGTGACAATATAAAAAGCTAAAATAATTACATGGAGCAGAAAAGGATATCAATGTTATTTTACAATATCAAATGATATTTTAGGATTCAACCTTTATATTACTGCAAATAACCCATGCCCAATATCTGTTTAAAAATTGCCCTCTTACTCATTTCTGTCTTTAATTTGTCAAGCAAGTACCAATAGTAATGATACAAGCGAAAATGAGATGGAATGGAGGCTCATTCCTGTAATTCCAGTATTCAAGAGGCTAACAAAACAAGAGGATCTCCCTGAGTCAGAAGACCAGCTTCGGTTATCTATAATGAACTTCTGGCCAGCCCAAGATACAGAATGAGACCTTTCTCTCTCTCTCTCTCTATCTCTCTCTCTCTCTCTCTCTTTTTCAGAAAAAAGGGACATCCTATCTAAAATCTATAATGATTACTCAAAAAACAATTTTTTTTATCTGACTAGTGGTAGATTTTTTTTTTATTGAACTAATGAACTGATTAATAGGGAGTTGAAAATGACCTCATGCATTTTCTTGAAAATATTTAACTTATTTATATTCCATGCTTTCTCTGAAGATTACATCTGAAATTTAACTTTTGGAAACAATAGTCTAATAAAATCATAACAGACTGATTCTTATTAATCATAGAACTATGAACTCTGAAATGACAATTCAATTCTTGTCTCTGTATCAATCAAAAGACTAACCAAGCCCAGTGAGCATAGAAGAGGACACTGGCAAAAACCAGGCTATAACTTAAGAAATAAAGAAGCTGAAAATGAAGTATTTTCATAAAATAGTACATGGAAAAAATAAAGTATGAGTTTTAATTCAAAACAAAGCTTATTTCTCATACTTCAGTTTTCCTATGTACTATTTTGTGATCTTAAAGGAGTGGTTCTCAACCTTCCTATGATGTGGCCCTTTAATACAGTTCTTCATGTTGTGGTGACCCCCCCAGCCATACAATTATTTTCATTGTTATTTCACAACTGTAACTTTGCTACTGCTATGAATTATAATGTAAAGATCTGATATGCAGGATATGATATATGACTCCTATAAAGGGGTCATTCAATCCCCAAAGTGGTCACAACCCACAGTTTGAGAACCACTGACTTAAAAGAATAATGGGAAATTAATAGAAAACAACAATTAGCAAATATGAGTTCTTACAAATATGTAAAAATATTGAGGATAACCTAGCTTATTGCTATTATTTGTTTCCAAAGCTGTTTCATGCATTTCAAAAAGTAAAGTAGGAATTCAGAAAGATCCCACCCATTCTTTCTATTAATTTCATTATACATATGCAACCAATGTCATTAGCTTAGGTGTTCTTCCCAATACTCTTTAAATACATGACCAAATAAATCACATCTCAAAAGGTGTTCACTTCTATGTTATGCACGTTTTACATGCCTAAGTTTACTTGTATGCTTGTACATGTTAATGCACTTTCTTCAACAGCTTTTGTCCTCAGAAATAATTTAGAAAAAAACAGAAGTCATTACCAATAATGTGTAAACAAGTTATAGTATACCAATATAATAAAAATGTAATCAAAGGTCTGGGGACATGAACTCACTTTGCTTAGAATATCAATTAACAGTAATTCTGGAGAGCAATTAGAAATTTTCCATTCAGATGAAAACGTATGGTAATAATTGGCAATGGAAACAAATAACAAACAAAAAGAAAGCAAAGAAGTAATTTCACAAGTTAAACCATTTTTGTTACTCTAGAAAAATTTTACCTACAACAGGAAACTGTAAAATGCTCAGTAGATCTTTTGGACCACATTAGATAATAAAGAAGGGTTAGTATTTACATGTGCTATGTATAAATTATTTTCAAAATCATGTATTAATAGTTGAACTTTACTAACATTTTAACATTTGGATTTTCTTTTTATTTTTTTACATCAAGTAGGTTAAGATCTCAGGCTCTGCAATAGGCAAAGTAAATTCTGGCAGTCATAAATTATGTAACATTGGGCAATTAACACTTTTTCAATCCGTTTAATATCTACCTTATGATGATGCTATGGACTTATTATACATGAGGCCAGTATCATCAGCAAAAGCAAAAACAATTATGTGGGGTTGTAGATCAAACTATATTGGTACAGTCATGCTCTTGGGTTTTTATATACATGGTGTGGGAGAATTATCTGTATTCTGTCAATCATGTATTTTAATAAAACGCTGATTTATTAAACAGGAGAATTCTGGGAAGCAGAAAGCTTCCTCTGCCATTCCTGCCCAGACCACCGAAGAGGCAACATGTGAGCTGCCACGCTGAGAAAGGTACTGAGTCGTGTGGCTAACATAGATAACGATAATGGATAATATAAGTTACAAGGACTAATAAGAAGCCTGACCTAATGGGCCAATCAGTTTATAATCTAATGTAGACTCTGTGTAATTTTCTTTGGGATTTACCGGCTGTGGGGTACTGGGCGGGACAGATACCCCAACAAGCCGGCCCTCATGTTACATATACAGATGGCTGCATTCTCACTCTAAGTTGTAAAAGGTGTTATTACAACAAAATTTACCTACTCTAATTCCTCTTTCCATTTTTTTTTCCAAGACAGTCTTTTGTGCACAAAGTAGAACTCCAACTTAGATACAGCCAAGGATAACCTTGAACTCCTCCTTGAATTGCCTCCATTTCCCAAGTGATAGGACTATAGATGTGCACCCCATGTCAGGCTCAGTTTCTCAACTTTACCAGGAAGAGTTTGCCAATATCTGATATATAGCAATTAAGCCACTAAACCTTTAATAGTAACATCTAAGGCACAGATACAGGGCTAGGGATGAAACTTTTGGTAGTAACATGCTTGCTTAGTATGTAAGGTGTCTCAGTTCAATATAAGAAATGGAAAGGAAAGGAGTTATACCAACATAATCATCAAACATACACAAAAATTTCATCTTATATGACTATACAATTTAAACAAGTAACTTACCTGGACCATAGCAACAAGATCTTGGAGCTGTTTAAGTTTCTCTTTTGCAGCCATGAGTCTACTTATCTTCTGTTCAAATTCTTCATCTTCTGGAGCCTCATCAACCAGACTGCTCCTGTGGCTAGATAATGAAGCCCCACTGACTCCTTCCTCTTCTACTTCTTCCTCCTCGTCATCCTCACCTTGTGCTACATGCAACCTCTGTTCTCCTTCTCTATTGTATCGACAGTCTGTTAAAAACAAGTATCATTCAAATAAACGATTTTAAAACATTAAGAGTATAAATCAAAGATAATCTACTTCACTAGAGTAATATGGCAAAATTTGTGTGCATATAGGAAATTATACCTAACGGAGGCATGTTTAGAGCTCTGATGTTGGCAGCAGATCTGTTGTTAATTTCACAGTTAGAATTAACTGATCTCCCGTCTCTATTATTAGAAATACACTGTGAATTACTGTTACTATTCACTTCATTCCAGGTGGAGGCTACCTGTGGATTCCTGAAAGAAATTAAAGCCCAGTTATTTAAAACAACAAAAATAAAAATTCAAAAAAATCTACCTACGTAGAGCTTTAATAAACTAGTTTCAAGCAAAGAACAGCATTAACTAAACCATTTTAGATCAAATTCTTAATAATAGACTTCTATTTTTCATTAACTTTTCCAAAAACTTAGAAGTTTATGAATAAAAGCATCTGAAAACTTAAAATTTATGTAAACTATAGCAGTAGGAAAAGAAAATGCTAAATTTTATACTTTTTAAATTTACTTGCATTCAGTAACAAACGGCAATTTTACTAAATTACTGCCTGCAATATTTCCTTCCTTTTCTTTATAGGGTAAGAATGATTATTACACTAAAAGTTAACTTATAAGGAAAAAGCTTAAATAAGAAGGAAACAATATTTCACTGATGTATCCCTCCATCCCAGCCCCCACACAAGCATTAAGTTCAGATGAATACACTGGGAAAAAGAAACTTAAATGCTGTCACCTAATGTTAGTAACAGGTTCAGAATTTTCATGCTCAGAATCATATTCTGACTCTTCAGTTTCTTCATCTTTTGTATTTTCATTTACAGCATCTGTCATCATATCTGATGTTTGTTCATAATAATGAACTAATTCTCTCAATTCATTCAATCTCTTTTGAACTTCATTTAACTTCCTGATTAAAAAAATATAACATCATTTTAGAAAAAATACACTATTTTCACTTAATAGCAGTTGGCACATACACCCACAAATATAGTTAGACCAAGTTAAGTATTCAGGGCACCTGTCAATTTTTAAAAATACAGTTTCAGCTGTACATGCTGGCACATGCCTTTCATCCCAACACTCAAGAGACAGAGGCAAGCACAACTCTGTTAAGTTCAAGGCCACCCTGGTCTACATAGTAAGTTCCAGGCCAGTCAAGGCTGACTATATAGTGAGATCCTATCTCAAAACAGACAAGCAAAAGGTAAACAAAAGGTAAAACAAAAGAAGCAAAACCCCAAAGCATAAACTGAAATGTCATATACATCGTCCCTGTTTTGCAGGTGAAGAAGCAGAAGCTTTCTAATTGTTCTGCTCACACTGACACAGTCTTGCATAAAACATCATTTCAGGGCTATGAGTCTAGAGTCTGGGTATTATTCTTTGAATATTAAAACATTTTACATAGAGTTCTTGGTATTTCTAACTTTTTTACTAAAAAATGATCAATTAATAGCAGTCTACAGAAACTACCAATGCTATCTCTTATTTCTTTCAGTCAACCAATAAGATTCCCTCCTTCTTCCACCATATATCTGAAGAATGTTTATCTTACTAACTTCAGTTTCTTAGAAATTTTCAAAAGTTTAAAAATCCTCATTATTTAATTCTAATTATTTAATATATGTGAAGAATGATTGTAAAAAGTATTTTACTGTAGTTTTTCAGCTGGATTTAGATGACCTTCATTTTCACTCTCAATCTGAGAAACCAGAGAAGTCGCAGGACAAGGAACAGAGGATATAAGGCTATTGGACTCTCCATTGACAACTGGTGCAAAGCCTACAGGAGCAGAGAGAGTTACAGCTGAACTTCTCTTATCTCCACTTCTTTGGAGAGAAGTTGAAGGCACGACTGAAAAAGAAAGAAAAAGATACATAGTTGCCATAAATAAAAATGGTATGAAGCAGCATATTTTCGCAGTTTGCATACTTACATAAAGACAGAAAATAAAATTCATTCACATCTTAAAATCTGCAGATTTAAGTCCTAAAAGTTTATGTATATACACTGGCAGGCCACTTATTAACACAGTTCACAACAAAACACCTCAAAATACACAAGGAAAAATATTTTTACTTCTTCCTTTTAGATAGTCTAGCACTTCTGCATTATAGCCACTGAATTAAAATAGAAGGGAGAAAATAAGAGAGAAACTCCAAAGTATTACAATGCTATATGCTAGAAAAACAACCAAAAGAACAATAGGATAAACTTGTCTCACGTTAAGTTAAATGGGATCACTATGTATGACGGACAGAACACAACAGACCAGTCCTGGCAGGTAAATAATAAAGACTATGTATTTTTCTACCTCCTATTTCAAAACTACTGTCATTTATCTTTTTCTCACTGTGACTATCAGTGTTTCCTTCTCATTTTAATGCCACAATTATCACAGCTAGTTCCTAATGATTTCTTTTTACACTATTCTTTAACCATTGTTCCTGTAACTACTGCTCTTACACTGTTTTCTAGAAAGAGGAGTGGTCTTTTAGTCAGTTGTCAGTCGACAAAGTATAACATTTTTTGTATATAAAACTGACCCAAAGCCATAATCATACCTTACAAATTTTATTTTCCTTAGTTGCCTTCCTCTGTTCATAAAATTAATAACTGATATTATCCTCTACAGGAAGAGAAAGGTGGCTGAGATCAAGAGGTGGGAGATAAGTGTTTCAGGGCAGAATAGTAAGGTTTCTTTGAAAGTGGCAGAGAATCAGGAAATACGTGAAGAGTAAAGAACTCCTCCAAGCCGGATGTAGCAATGCAAACATACAGTCCAAGCCCTTGGGGAGACTGATGCAACAGTGTTCCACATTTGAAGAGAATCTGAGCTCCACTGTAAACCTTGTCTCAAAACACAAAAAATACCAAAAGAGAACATATGATTCTGTTATTTTAAATGGCTTACTTACTTATTTTAGGTAAATATGTACCTGCATGAATTATGTGCATCACATGCATGCAAGTGCCCATAAAAACCAGATGGCATTGAATCCCCTGGAACTGAAGTGACGGGCAGTTGTAAGCTATCTAATGTGGGTCCTGGGAACCAAACCTGGGTTCTCTGCAAAAGCAGTAAGTGCTTTTAGATGCTGAGCCATCTTTCCAGCCCAAAAATGGGGATTCTAAAAATGGTGTTCTTACCCACTATTAACTTCTTACTCAGATAACAACTGGAATGTTATAATGGTCAGTTGAGTTACCCCAGGTGATTTCAATTTCTAGCAATTAAGCTTTTAATACTAAGGGGCAGGAACTAGGATTGAGAAAAACTTTTAGTAAAACGATAAAGACTAGAGACTACATCTGAATTTTCCAAAAAAAAATTTTTTAGTAGACTTAGCATCTATTTGGCCCTTTATCACATATTGGCTTATTAAGAGCTTTTCATATTCAAGTTTCTTCCTCAAAAATTATAATTTTTGTGGAACTGTATTTATTACCTTATCAAAGAGTTACTAAGTAACTGCTCTGTGCCAGCATATATACTTATATGCCCTTTACTTAACACTGCTGAATCAGATTTACTCACATGATGAATTGTTCAGATGCTGGTCTCGAAGGGTATGGAGTTCTCCAAGTAACTTGTCCATTTTCTGTTTCTTTTCCTGCAGTACTCTCATTTTACTAAAAAGCTGGACTTTCTCATCAGGTAAATGTTCAGAAACTGGGGGATTTCTGCTCTGAGAAATTTCTCTAGTTAATGAGAGGCTCTCTGCCTGTCTTCTGTTGTCTGGAACAGTGGGAGGCTTAGTTTAAAAAAGAAAAAGATCATGTGAGGTGAAGGTAATAAAAAGCTGCATTTTTCTGTGTGTTGACATCTGTTTCCTATTTTGCTATTAACATGATGCTTCCATTAACACTCTTATCCCAATCTCCTGTGAGTTTCTGAGCACTTCTTTAAATAAGGTATAACAGGGCTCAGCAGAAGAATTTACTAATTTTTCTAGATAACTATACAAAATGGTTGGCCATACTCATTTTCTTAGTGGGAAAGACAAGCGTGATTACACCTTCAATCATACATCTTTTCCCAGTGTGAAGGCAATAGCTTACCAATTCTTATACAAATTCCACATTAAAAGTTCACAGAGGCATCATTATTTATTTTACAAATTCATAAAACTGAAATATTTATTAATTCTAAAATTGTTCTTGATAGACATGGACACAAACCATTATCCTAACGCTTTAAGAGGTTAGCACAGAAAGACAGAAAATTTGAGGTCAGCTTGTCTTGCTTCAATACCAAATCAAATTAAAATTCTACCTCTCCCTGAAAAAAAAGAAAAACTTTCTTAAAACTATTTGATAAAATAACCCAAGGACATAGACTTAAAACTAACTATAAGTCTCTTTTTTGTTTTTAGTTTCCTTGATGCAGTAGGTAGTTCTGGCTGTCTTTGAACTCACTACGTAGACCAACCAGGCTGATCTCGAATTCAGACATTCACCCGACTCTGCCTCCCAGTGCTGGAATTAAAGGTGTGTGCCATACTATAACTGTTTTAACTTTAAGTCTTAATGGTTATATCCACCTAATGCTTAAAAGAGGTAAAAAGAACGTTTATCTAACAGTCTACACAATGAAAACCTTACTACTCAGTATATTAAAATAGCTTTTCTGGATAAGGACGTATAGTTCATTGGTTAAGAACACCTGATGCTCTTGCAGAAGACCTGAGTTCTGTTCTAGCATGTACACTGAGCAGCTCACAACTGCCTATAACCCCAATTCCAGGGAATCTGACACCCTCTTTGGACCCATGTATTTATATGCTATACATACATATATTCAGGCACACACACACACAAATAAATCTTAACACAGTAGACTCTCCCCCAACCTAGGGTTTCTCAAAGGAGACTCTCAATAGCAATGGGATCATGTGGGGCCCACTCAAATCTTAAGGATCATAATTTTAGAGGTAGAGGGACTTTGTGTATCCAATTTTTTAAAAATCAAGCCAGGTGACATTTATGTTTACTAAGGTTTGAGACCCATTGGGTTAATTAATGTTATTTATAAACTTAACTATAGAAACCAATTACCACCAGGTAGTGGTGGCACACACTTTTAATCCCAGCACTCAGGAGGTAGAGGCAGGTGAATCTCTATGAGTCTGAGATCAGCCTGGCCTACAAGAGCTAGTTCCAGGACAGGCTCCAAAGCCACAGAGAAACCTGTCTCAGGAAAAAAAGAAAAAGAAAAAAAAGCAAGCAAGAAAGAAAAGAAACCAATTACCTGAGACTCACGAAGTTGATTATGAAAACGCTGGATTAAATCATTCAGTTCTTCATTTAGTTCAGATGTGATGCTGACTCCAGATAAGCTTCCTGTAGTTTCTGTAACAACTAAAAACAAAATCAAATACTATATTCAACATAAAAAAGCAGCAAGCTAAGTATAAATTTTGGACGGGGGAAGCTCAACCTAACATAATTTGAAAATTATCTTACTTATCTGTCAGCCAATTATTTTATTAGAAGTTTCTATCCGACGTAAAAATAAAGAGACAACTGCTAAATTGTAGGAAAGTGACTTGTGTTTTTCAATCTCAACAAACAAGGCAGGCTAGTATTGTAGTCCCAATTACTAAATGTGACTTGTTAGATTACAGCTAGGACGCTCTATTAGTTTCTTTAGATAGAGGGTACAGAGAGCAAATCGGCATCCTGGAAAAAAACACAGCTAACACTGACAGGTCTTTACCTCTTCCAAGTAAACCAAACTATATTACGGAAATGGCAAGTTTTTCTACAAAGGACAGACTGAAAACTATCATGGCTCCCTGGAATACAGTTCTTGTCTTACCTACCCATTTTTGCCATTAAAGGGCAAAATCCAGCAATATGTAAATAAGAATGGCAGTGTTCCATAACACCATGTCAATTACACTAGAAAACCGTAGGTTTTATCATCCTCATTAAAAACAACCAAAACCCAGCCGGGTGGTGATGGCATGCCTTTAATCCCAGCACTCGGAAAAAGAGACAGGCGGATCTCTGTGAGGTCAGCCTGATCTAGAATGAGTTCCAGGACAGACAGGATACATGGTGAAACCTTGTCTTTCCAATGTTAAAAGAAGCCACAAGCTACAAACTGCTTTTTTTTTTTTTTCAAATAAAATACAATAATTTTCTGCTGGAGAAAAAAAAAAAACGAAACAAATTTCTAGCATTTGAGGACTGAAAGAAACTCTTTTCTAGTCTAAACTTGTGAAAAACACCAAAATAACAACTTGCCAAACAGGAAGAAACACACTCTTCCCAAAGGCAGGTACGTGTGCTGTGTTTCTGAACAAATAAGAAATGCTAACTAACTCTTGCTTTCATCAGTTTTCTTCAGCAAAACTTCATAAGCACAGTAGCAAAATTGTTTTAAATTTATTAAGCTAAAATTCTTGTTGAAAAAGTATATAAAGTTCAAATTCAATCTCCTGGTTATAGTCTTTTATTGCAATACATGATAGGATATTTTTGTAAAAAAAATTATTTGCTTATTTTAACCTAGAATTACATTGATTTCTACTAAAATTCTGTATAGAGCCTAGCCATTTGTTTGTCATTTTCTCTATAAAGCCTTAAGCAGTAGCCTATAATGCTGATGATCAAATGAGATGGTGTAAATTCAAGTACTCAAGATTACAGAAACGAGATTGGGAACTCTGGGAGCCCCAATGCTCCATGAGGTTTGCAGGCAGTTAGTGGGTAGGAGAGAGACTATGGTGCAGGAGTGCAGCCAAGAAGGTTAGATGTCCATAATCCTGTCGACAACCCCTCACTCACATTCCTGTGACTAACCCTTATGAAACTTATGTCACCAAAATAGCAAATAAAAATGGCATAATTATAGTGCTCAAAGATAAATAAACTATGAGAATTGATGAGAAAACAACTAAGCCAATGAAAGAAATTATTATATCTATCACTTTGTGCCCCAAAATATATACAACTGTTATTTGTCAATTAAAAATAAAGCTAAAAAGAAACTTAAGCCTTATTAAGTTTTAATAAGAAGACAATAAGACAAAGTACAAAATTAAAAAGCTTAATACTAAGCAATTCAGTCATCACTTAAATGATACACAGCTCTGAGGCAAAGAGGGCAAAAAAAAAACATTTCTGAGTCTCACAAAAACTAAGTATAAGAGCAGTTTTAAAAGCTCATATATAAAAACATGTATCTAATTGAAATAACAGAACTACTAATACTGACCACTAAAGTAGCTCTATTAATCTGCTACCTTAATAGACTTCTTTTTATCTATTTTTATATTCTCCAGGTGCTAAGGCCTGAACCCAGGGCAGACTTAAGCATGCAAAACTGCAGCCCTTCCCACTTTCTTATTTTATGAGATAAAGTCCCACTATGATGTATTGGGGGAGGGGTCTGTATACACACATGTACCTCAGAGGTTGATGATACTGAGTATCTTCCTTAGTCTCTCTCCATCTTATTTTTGAGACAAGATTACTCACTGAAACCAAAGTTCACCAATTGGCTAGACTACTGAACCCCAGGATCCTCCTGTCTCTGTCCCTTTCAGTGTTGGGGTCATAGATGTATACCACTGCACTTGGCTTCTATGTGGTTGCTGAGGATCTAAATTGAGGTCCTTATGCTTGTGGGACACACACTTTACCAACTGAGTCCTCTCCCCAGACCCTAAGGATATTTGATCCTCCTGCCTCAGCCTTCTGAGTGCTGGATTCCAGGTATTATGTCACCAGCTTTATGTTGCAAAGCTGGTTCACATAAGATTTTTCTTTTTTAAAGCTTCCTTGGAAGGCAAATAAAGAACAAAAATTTTAGCTGCGTGAGATTTAAAACAAACAAACAAACAGGAACACCGCCCCCCCAAGCTGGAAACAAGAGCATCAAGAGTCCTATCATTCTGATGTTAAAAAAACAGTACTACATACAGGCCTGTCTCTTTTACCTCTTAAAGGTACTCTCTGATGAAAAGGAGAGCGAGCTGTCTGTCTGCACGGTACAGTATGATAGCCAGGAGTTGATCCTGCAACTTTTTCTGTATAACCAGAGAAAAGCATAGGACAGAGTAAGCCTTGCTTGCAGGTTGCTACACTAGTTAATAACCGAGATCTGATTATATAATAACAGCATTCACTTTGCAATAGTTAATGAGCCTTTCTTATAAAAATAACATTCTAAAATGGCTGCATACCAGAATCATCCATCACCGCTATAGCTTGCTCTGCTTTATGTTGCAAAGCTAGAAGAGCAGCTTGCCGTCCCTGTAGAGCTCGCAGCTGCTCCTGCTGTTGTAACATTCTTTTTAATAAATCATGTTGTTTCTTCAAATTTTCTGTCTCTTCTAAAGGCTCCTGTTGATGATCTCTGGCCTGAAAAATAAGACCAACAATACGTATACCAGACTGTTGAAATTCATGGTCCTGTTCCATTCGCCAGTGGCAAAGTACAGCAAAGATAATAGTTTTGATTGGATACACAACTCTAGATAGCTTTAAAAACTTAGAAAGTTGATATGCCCCACATTAATAATCAGGTAATTTCACAGTGAAAAAAACTATGACAAGGAAATAAAAGAAAAAAAAAAAGACCTTACAAAACAGAAGGTTGAAAGTCTATGAAGGCAAAAGGAGCTACACATTTTACAAACAAAAGAATAGGGGAGCCAATTACAGATTATAGAGAATTAATGCTCCAAAACACTTTTTTTTCTAAAACGAAACAAAACAAAAAACTAGGTAACAAAAATTTCTACCCCATACTAGAAATGGTTTTTAATATATACAACCAAAACAAATGAGAACATGTATGTGTGTGTCTGAGTGAGTGAGTGAGTGAGTGAGTGAGAGAGAGAGAAACACACCAACTTACAACCAAGGTGAAGATTTTTTTTAATGTACATTTGTTGATTATCTTATGTAAAAAGGCCTAACTGAAACACATTAAGTACATAAGAAAGCAGAAAACTTTATTTTGTATCAGATATCTTTATTAGTTTTTGACTCTTAAATTATGTCTATTTAGTAGAGTTTGGAGTATAAAACACAAAGAAAATACCTCCCAACTTCCCCAACACACTAAGAACTTATCGTCCTTTCTACATGCAACAAAACGAATTTAATCAGAAGAAACTAACAGTGGGGCTGGAGCGATAGCTCAGCAGTTACATGCAATTGTAGCTCTTGCAGAGAACCCAGGTTCTGTTCCCAGCACTCAGAGGCTCACAACCATCTTAATCCCAGTTCCAAGGTATCTAACACTCACTCTGACCTCTGTGGGCGTCAGACATGCTCAGGATGCCCATATATACATATAGGCAAAACACTTAAACATGGAAAATAAATCAATCTTTTAAAAGAAAAGAATTTTAAAAAGAAGTAAAGACCAAGTGGGCTGGTGACATGACTTAGTGGTAAAGTTCTTGCTTAACAGGCATAAGGCCCCTTGTATGATGAAAAAAAACAAAAATCAAAAAAACATGCATATACAAAATTTAAAACACAACTGAACAAAACTAATCAAAGACAAAAATGTAAATAAAGCCCCCAAACAATAAAATTTAAGCCCAATTATATATGAAATATATATTTTAATGGTATTCATTAATATACATCAAAATATTTGAAAGGTCTATTATTTAATCCATTGACATAAAATATTCCCTTTAATGTATTAAGATTTGGTTTTAAATTTGCCACATTAACAAACTTTTGTTGTGATTTTTTAAATGATTTCCCACTAAAATTAGTAAGGCAAGTCAGTGATTTCTTATGAATGTAAAAATAAATGCACTAATCTACTTTCACTGGGCATATGTGATTTCTGAGAAACCACAGGGAAAACAGACAGCTCAAGAAGTTTTTCTTCTGGATGACATCCTTCACCAGTGCTACACAAAGCCTCTTCCATCTACCTCCTCCCAATTAGAACCAGAATTATTGTACATAAGAATGGGTAACCATGACAACATTTTACATTGTGACTTAGAAAAGAAAAAACATAAGAAAACAAAAAGGCATTAAAGCCTCCAGTTAGGTACTCAGAGAAAAACTGGAGTTTGGTGGAAGTTAATGACTGCTATCAACACTGATACATATAATGTACATTTCAGATTGGTATTTACGAAAAAAGTTGAGAAGCTAGGTAGCACATCTCAGTACTTAAGAGGCATAGGCAGGTACACCTCTGTAAGTTCAGGCCAGTGTGGTCTACAGAGGACCCTAGCCAAGGTTACATATAGTGAGACCCTTTCTTGAGGAAAAAAATAAAATAAAATAAATTAAAAAAAAGAGGAGGGGAAGACAAATTGAATTGCTGCTTTATAAGCAAAAGAACTTGAGCTAGATCCTGAGAACCTTTATTTTTTAAAAAGGCCAAGCTTGGTGGTTCCCACATGGAAACCCAGCTCTTGGAAGGTGGAGGTAAGTAGATCCCTTGGAACTCACTGGACAACTGCACTAGCCTACTTGGCCCAGTTATAGGCCAGTGAGAGATGCCGGCTCAAAACAATGATGAGAAAGCACCTGAGGACTGACACTCAATGACATCCTCTGACAACGAATGGGTATACATGAAGAGTCTCTTAGTTACATAATACAAAATGTTATGTCTATAAAACATACCAAAAAATTAGAATCAGCCTTTGTAGATAGATGTGACTAGAATACCTATTATTTCATATCAACCTGTAACTCATAGGGCATTTTCTTTCAGCTTCGAATCTAAGGTAAGACCTCAAACCTTTTCCTCTATTCTGCAAACATAATGCATTTCAAAAGGCTGCTTAAGAAGGAAGAAGAAGGAGGAATTTGGAGAGTGACAGATTCTGTAAGCAGAGGAAAATCAAGTCAGGTGGAAAGACTTAAGATTTTAATTAAAATCATTTTATGAAGTATGTATTAGTAAGCTACATTGTGATGACCTTAAGAATCAAGACTAAGGTTGGCAGGATGGCTCAGTGGATTAGAGAGCCTGTCACATTAAGCAGTAAGCCTGAGGGCCTGAGTCAATCTTCAGGACCCACACTGAAGAAAAGCAATACTGGTTGTCCTTTGACCTCCACATGCATGTTGTGGTCTACCATAGGCATCCACACACAAAATAAGAATTAAAACAAAAACAAGATTAAGAATAGTTGAATTGGAAGAATTTAAGTTTAAGATACAGTAATTCTTATTTGTAAGAATACTTTCTTAAGAGATTTAAAAGCAGAGGGCTTCAGACGCAGAGGACGCAAAATGTGACTGCCTTGCGATAAAAGGTACCAAACCATGTAGCTAACACACAAGGATAATGGGTTAATGTAAGATGTAAGAATTAATTAATAAGAAGCCTGAACTACTAGACCAACCAGTTTATTATTAATGTAAAAAAAAAGAAAAGAAAGACAAAGAAAGAAAAGGAAGGAAGGAGGAAGGAATGAAGGAAGAGACAAACACAGGGCTTTTGTTACACCGCGGGGTCAAAACAGACTTGGCCAATGTGCTGTAGTGCCCATAAACTGTAAAAAGAAAGGCGACAGGTTTAGCGGATACCTGCTGTAGTTCACATTCATTTTCTCCCTTTCAATATTATTAAATCTAAATATAACCAGGAACTTTTCTGTTCAGAAGGGAGTACCTTTAGCTTAATGCTTTGTATAATTAAAGACCCCTCCCCCCGAAAAAAAAAGAATAGCACAAATTGCCAAAATATTTGCAGTTAAATTTTTTCATTTTAAACACCAATATAAATATATATATATATATATACATATATATATTATGAAACTACAAAACAAAATAAAGATTAATGATAACAAGCTAGTAATAAAACTTACAAAATTATTCTTGTATACTCTAAATTATTAAAATGGTCTTTTGCTCTTGCTAAAAGGACACACATGCTTTTACAAATGCTATTTTATACAGAAGTATTGGAAGAGCTACACAAACAGTTTTCATCACTTATCCTGAATGCCTTTATACAAATCATGGAAAACTAAAGGAAAGAACATTTAAATCAACACTGAAGAAGAAAATCTAGCAACATATTAAAATATCAATGAGTAAATCAACTAACTAAACAAGAGGGAGAAAGAGAAAAGGTTTAAACAGTACACAAATACAATTCAAAACTACAAAAAGGGCATTTTTTTTCCTTTAAAGACAGAAAACCTAAAAGCTTACACTATTTTCTTTTTCTCTAATAAACTATAATAATAAGACAAAAATTTAAAGTATAATTCTAATTCATAAACAATACTATTATAAACAAAAGCAACCCTCGGTCAAGGTTTAAGAATGTTTTATATACTCTAAAACCTTCAATATCGAAAAAGAAATTATGATTCTAATCCTTTATAATTATAAATCAAAGTCAGTCACCATATTTTATCCATGCAGAGGTATATTATAAAGCAAAAAAGAAATAGAAACACTTAGAAATAGCATTTTACTAAAGCAAATTACAGGATATTAATGGTATTAATAATTTATAGAGTTAAGAGTAACAGCAGTTAACAAAAAAAGCAAATAAGGAAGAAGTAGAAATAAGAGCTGCTCATTTAAAGACTTCCCAAGTTACCATTGTGAAGTATACCTTTGAGGGAAATCCACGTTTTCGGCTATATTTCCTATCAGGTTTCAGTTCCCTGTCATTCTGAGGAGCTCTGCCACCTTTCCCTTTTGGACTTGTAGTAACGTCAATGTCTGAAACCTGTTCTTGGGAAGCTGAATTCCCTAGTTTGTCCTCAATGCAGGGCCGAATTCTCAGACTAAAAGATGCCTCCTTTATTAAATAGTGTAGCATATTAATTTCTTAACACAAACTCCTGTTTAACATATAAGCCAGCCTTGTAAATAAATACAAAAATGACTCATTCCATCTTTTAAAAAATTTAACCCAAATCCACCCCCAAGAGGCAATAAATTTAATTATACTTTTAAGTTTCTATAAAATAAACAATTGCTTATTAAATTCAAGCAAGCATTACATCCATGACAAGCTTCAAGTGTGCAAAACTGCTAAAGCATACTTCAACATTTATTCTGGTATATAACAATTTACAAAAGGCCATAACTTTACACAATTATGAAGGAAATTCTCATCACAGTTAACATTTTGGATTTGAGAATGTAAATTACAATCAACTATACCATTTCTCATACTTCTCTGTTAAAATCCTTCAACCAGCTGACCCCAACCCTTCTGCTTCTGCTGGTATGTAAGGGAGAAATTTTTCGCATCACTATGAACAGAAAACAATTTCCCACAACAGAATCCATTTTTCAACAACTGTTTGGACCAAGCCCCCTGAATATTTTCTTAATACAAAGAAAAAAGTTCAAATTTGCTATCTTAAAAAAGTTTAAACAGGAAAGATAGGGAGGAAAAAAGAAGCAAGTAAATTTTGTTGAGAAGTAATAGAAAGAAACAAACCCTCAAATCCCTAATGCTGAATGGTATTTTGAAATATACTACAAATCAAAGATATGGGTGCTCATCCTTTCAAAAGCAAAGAATTACTAACACTGGGTGTTTAACAGTTACGAGTCCATAATTATAGTGGTGTTTAAATAGCGCAGGGTTATCACATGCACTTCAGAAGAACACATGGTTATAGGCACATCTGTTAAATAAAATGTTTAAAAGCAAAGAAGTTTTGAAATGTACTACATTCTATGAACTAATCTATCTTACAACCTTTTCTTTAAATTACTATTTTCCAAGGGAACAAATGTTTTTATTAACTTTATAATCAGAAACCACAATACTTTTTCTTCACTAAGAGTAAATAATGTCAATATTATTCTGTCTTATTAGCTTTTATTTTAACTTTTTATACAACTAGCTTTGCTATAGTACTACAGGATGTCAAATAAAAAAGAAAAATCTTAGCACATTTGAGATGAGTCCTCACCAGCAAATGAATATGGACACCTCTCCAGCTTAACATGCTTAGCAAACCTGAGTATCCCTAGTGGTAGTAATGGCTCTCAAACCTACAATGAATTCTAACTTTGTCAATGCTACTTAAAATTAGGAAAGCTGTGCTGAGCAAAACCAATTACAGACATTTCTATACAATGATAGAATTAACTAGGTTTCCAATTCAAACTTTTAAAACTACTTTTAATGTTACTAATAAAATTTTCAAACTTCCATGCTTAGAAACTAAATATACCATTAACAATTTGAGGGTTTCTTTCCTGGAATATACTTTTTATTAAAGAATGCCAAAAGCTGTCATCTTGAAAAATGGAGGAAAGCCTTAAATCTTCATTTCCAGCACTTTAATTACCAAAAAGCAGCTTACCGTGGTATCTGAAGCCTCAGACTGCACATCTATGTTTAGCGATGTGCTCTCAGCTACAGAACCAGATCCCACAGCTGAGTCTATAGTCCGAACATCCTCCTCCTCATTTTCTCTAGCCTGAAATATTTTAGTGGTATAAATCATACAACTATTAAAAAGGTCAATAGAAAAGTTATAATGGATGGCACAATTTTTGAAAATATGTTAACTCCTCTGGAGTGGCATCAGAATATCGTCAATATTTGTACATGGTACATTATTAAAAAAACCAACACATATCACTTAAAAAGTCAAAAACTTACAAGGATTTTCTGGAGAAATTTCATATATGACTTTTCTTGTTCTTTAAGGTGTTCTATTAGATGAGTAAGGCGCTCAACATTAGCAGATCTTTCATTTTTCTCTACAAGATCTTCTCTCATAGAACTAGCTTTTGTAATATAGTCACGAATTTGAACAAGTCTGCTTACAATCTGCAGGGAAAATATTAACAAGAAAAGTAAGAAAGCGGGTGGAAATGGAAACTTTCATAATTTAATAAACTTTGAAAAAAAAAAGAAAAGTAAGAAAGACAGTATACAACATATAAAACCGAGCATAATTAACTCCACAGCAATAGTATTATACATTTTTATTTCAAATGAAGGTAAATCAAGGATATATCTAGGTCTACCATACATATTTATGTATGCAAGAAAATTTGAATCAAGCTTAGATTTTAAAGATTAAAATAATGGTCAATAAACTTCAATCATTAATTTAAAATTTCAAAAATATTTTAGTTTATATCATCTGAAAATTGGATCTATTATAAACTTTTATTATTGTTGTAGAGATATTGTTTGCTTTTTTGTATCTGTGTGTGAATGCCACGGTGTATGTGGAGGCCAAGGACTACTCCCATGGAGTTCGTGTTCTATTTTATGTGGGTTCAAGGTACTGGATCTTTAGACTTACAGAATGTAGACAGCAGAGGAAACCCTAAGTTGGTGAATTTGTGAGTCAATATGTACAGATCAGAAAGGCACAGTCATGCAAAGGACTTCAAGATCTCAAACCCATGAAATACTGGCAAAGCCAGTGGTAAAGCTCTCCCCAAGAACCCAAAGTATGAGTGTTTATGAACGACTAATTAGTGTGTACAAGGACTAGCAACTGTGGCTTCTTTTTCCCAGATAGTTACAGCCTGAGCCTGCTCACTTATAGAGGCCGCCTATCAAGACTGGTTAACAAAGCTCAATTGTGTGCTGTACCTAATAAACACACTCAGACTGAGATTCCGGATTAGCAGAACCGCACTCATCCTGCTATCCTGTCCATGTGTCTGTCCTTCCTTCATTCTTTCACTACTCCTAGTCAGGGTTCTAAGCCCCATCAGAACCCCACCTGACTCTGCTTTACTATCCATGTGTGTGTCCTTTCTTCATTCCCTTACCACCCTAGTCAGGATCCGGGCCCCAAGCGGTGCAAGTTGTTCCACTAAGCCATCTCTCCAGAACCCAAAATTTTATTTATGAAACAAATCGCTGAGAAATTATGTACATATTCCACGTGGGGGTGGGAGCATGCATGCATGTCTGCACACATACTACAGGGGCACATGTGGAGATGAGAAGATGAGTCTGTGGTACTGGTTCTCTCCTTGCACCTCTACATGGGTTCCAGGTTATCACAATCAGGTTGCCAAGTTTACGCAGTAAGCACTTTTACCCTCTGAGCCATCTCACTGTCCCTAAATATGATGCTTAATGGTTATATTTCTATATAAATAATTAGTAGTATCATAAAAACAAAACTTAAAAGGACACTTTTGAAAATATTTTCCAAAAATATCAGCATTGTTTTACTCTTTTTTCATGATTTACTTTATTTTTAATTGTGTACGTGTATATAGGCAGGTGTATTTGAGTAAAGGAACCTGTGAAGACCAGATGTATCTGATCTTCCTGGAGTCAGAGTTTCAGGGGTTGTGATCTAATGTGTCCAATGTGTATGCTGGGAACCAAAGCTGGGTCTTTCATAAGAAAAATGTGAGTCCTTCACCACTGAGTGTCTCTCCAGCTCTAAATGCCATATTTGTTGTTTGTTTGTTTGTTTAGTTTTGCTTTTTTAATTTTTATTTTTTTGGTTTTTCAAGACAAGGTTTCTCTGTAGCTTTGGAGACTGTCCTGGAACTAAATCTCGTAGACCAGGCTGGCTTTGAACTCACAGAGATCCGCCTGCCTCTGCCTCCCGAGTGCAGGGATTAAAGGTGTGCACCACCAACTGCCCAGCTCCAATAGCCACATTTGAATTAAGTTCTTTAAGAAACAAAACAAAACAAAATCACACTCTTTCTAACCCCGCTTTATTAAAATTAGCAATTTAGTGTTTGAAAGTCAGAGAAGCTTTAATGAACATGAATATGTAATTTCTCAGTCATCTAAGGAGTAAAATATTATTCTATTTAAAATACATGGTACATTATTGAAGAGGGCTAGGGGAAAAACTAATTCTACTTAACTGAAATTCCTATATGCATAACCTAATACTTCCTGAAGAGCTTAAGGTTTACACTTTGAGATCTGCAAAACCACACCCAAATAATTCCATTTTACCACCTGGCTGCTCTCCATTGCAGGTTCTCCTCGCCCATCTTCTTCAGAGACTTGACAGTTTTGCAAAAGGTCATTACTTAAAGCAGAAGCAAACAGCTCTTTGCATTGCGCTGATGCAGTCGCTTCTCTCTTTGGAAGACTTGGAGTAGCATCCTTGCTCTTGTTAGTATTAATCTGCATAGGTAAAAAGTTGAAGGGCTTTCGGTTTTCACTAAGCTGACGTTTGTTGTTAGCCGCTGTTGCTCTACCTTGAGAATCACTTCCAATACTTCTCTATACACAAAAAGGAAACCAAATCAAACAGTAATCTTTCAACAATTTTACAAGATTCCAACATTCTTAGCTATAACATTAGATGAGGACAAGGTTTTATAAAAAAAAGTTTTGAAAAAGCTTCAGATCTACAAAATCCTATTAAATTATCAAAATTTGATTTCTTTCTTATTCTTATTTTTTGAAATAATTGAATGGTGAATACGAACAAGGCTAGTCTCATTAGTAATGTGGGCTACGTTATAATTCATATTGCTTAAAAATTTTTGTAGGTGTTGGCTCCAAAAAATCAGTATTAATTAATAGGCTATAAACACAATGAATTAATAGATTATAAGCATAATGATTTGTCCACATGAAACACTACTTGAAAAAGCATTCAGTGACCACTACCAACACAGCTGAGGTAGATTGTTTACAAAGTATATTTTAGGCCATGAGTTTAGTCTCCAACAACAACACACACACAATCAGTTTAGTACCTAGCAATGTGCATATGGTACATTTACATAATACCTGGTCATTTACACCATCACTGCCATATTAGACTTGAACCTACTTTTCTGCATGTATGGAAACCTCTTTACCTCTGCAAAATTCAGATATGACAATAAAATACCGGTAAAAATACCAGCCAAGAGTTTATTATTATTTCTACTTGCCTTTATATCTAAACTTTATTTTGGTGATTATAAGTCAGTTTTATTCTAAACTTTAGATAACCAAGCACATTCACATTTATCCAATAAATGTACTAAACTTAGTAGCAATATCCAGTCAGCAATATCTACTTTGATAATGAAGTATCTTAAGCTAGCTATTAGAATAGTAATAGCCCAGAAAGGCTTTTGGCAAATGTAAAAATACAACTTTACTTCTATGCAAAGACAGTACTATAATCAGTATTTAAAACTCTCTCCACACATACAGAAACTTTTATTCTTACCAATCATTTATTCTTAAAACACTACTTATTCCATTTCAAGTATTTCCCATGGTTATAACTTATTTTGAAAAGAATTCACAAACCTGATCTAAATCACTGAAGTTTATCCGCTGTTTAAGCTTCTCTAATTCTGCCTGCTCTGGAACAGACATCTGAGTCAGATATCTACTGTGAGGAAACGTATGTGGAATCTTTGTTCTTCGCCTTCCAACTCCTGGTGATGACTCCGGAGAAATATCATTAGTTACCCTCTTATCACTTGCTACACCAAACTTTTTCTTATTCTTTTCTGATGATCTATTGGCTTTCTTCTGTTGGCCACCCCACTCCTTTAAAAAAGTAAAACCAAAAGTTAATTTGACCTATATCAAACCAAGAAAATAATTTGGTATGCTCAAAAAAACAAAACAACTTTGATCTGGATATTAAAACACTAAGACTTTTTCACATACAAATACTCTCTTTAGCGGTTTATTTCTGTCAACCCATTTTTTCATTATTATATCTATCCTAATATTACAGCTTAGCCTTTAAAAAGTTTATTACCACCTATTATAGATAACAAATATTAAACTCCAAATTCCAACCCACAAACCAATTTAAATATTTTCAATCATTTCTTTTTTGTTTGAGATAACGTCTTCTTCTAGTTCAAAATGGCCTTGAACTCACCATACAATCCAGGTCAGCCTTGAAATCATGATTTTCCTACTTCAGTCTGTCAAGTTCTATAAGACTACAGAGATATTCAAAAGCAATTCTAAAAACTATGTTTTTCTAGCCATCTGTTATGACACATATCTACCATCTCAACACTCAGGAAGCTGATAAAAGAATGCTGGAGAGTTCAAAAGAATTCAAAATCAGCTTCAGCTATGTAGTGAAACTTTGTCTCAAAAAGGTTTTGTTTTTTTCTAAATTAAGTATTGAAATAAATACATCTTTAAATGTCCTCCTTTAGATTACAATCAGTTTGTATAACAAAAAGGAGATATATATATACATACATATATATATACATATATGTATGTATATATATACACACACATGGTTTCAGTTTCTTACTCTTTAAAATAAGGTACCTTAAAAATAAGATTAAAAATATTATCTTGAGTATTTAGAACAATGCCTAGCATCTGATAAGCATTAATATAACTATTATTGTCCTCATTAGTATTTTATGGGAAACAACTATGCATTCCTACATTATCTATCCACATTGGAAGACTCTTAGTTAACACTATAATAAAACCATTTAGTAAACTGTCCTCATTTATAAGAAATGTTGCCTCTCTAAGAACTGCTTCTCCATCCCATTCCATGTATGGGTATTCCTGTGAACCTTTTATACTAGTTAGCCCATCCTTTCAGGCCCAGACGAATAAAAAAGAAATTTGAATCATAACTTTAAATTGGTCAGGATATAATTTCTTCCATGACTGAAAACCTTCAAAAAAGGCAGCCTCAGTATATACAAAACCAGAGAAAAAGAAAAGGGAGGTCTGGAAGGTTAGGCAGGGGTTCTGAGAAGACAGGCAGAGTAGTGAAAAGCAGTTTTTGACAACTTGCAGTCTTTTCCACTTCCTAAAACTGAACTACACCCCTTCAACCTGGCTTCACAAAGCACTTTACCTCTTTATAATGAATGGCTATTTTTAGTTTAAGCCAACTCATGCTTTCCATGAAGTAAACTAAAGTGACTTCAACCAATAATAAGCAACACAGAGTCCCTACGTATATATGCCTGCAGTTTTTGTAGTTTCGGTGAATACAACTGATGGGAAAATCTAACAACATTCGTAGTCAGCAATATACCATCTTCAGTAAGATATCATACCATATTGTTGAGTCGGTCATCTACACTCTCATTGCTCCAATTTGGTAAGTCCTGATCATGCATGACTTCTTCAAAAGGACCTCCTCCTGTGGCCATGTTGGCTTTAATAATTAACTCTCTGCAAAATAAGTAAAAATTAATCTTTTTAACACATAAAGATAAACTTTATTTTAAAATTTATTTATATTTATATTGTGTGTATGCATGCTTTTGCATGTAAGTGCAGACATACATAGATCACAATGTATGTACAAAGATCAGAGGACAACTTTCTGGAGTCAATTCTCTCCTTCCACTGTGTGAACTGGGGATGAAACTTAGTCATCAGGTGTGAAGAACAGGCATTTTCATATGCGAAATCATCTTGCTGGCCCAAACTTCAGACTTAAATCTGAATCCATCAATATGGAATTTAGTAATATAAAGGAATCACTGAAACATGAATTTTAAGAAATTACAATGTCAACCACATGCCACAGATAAATTGATTTATCTTCTATACATATTAACATGAGTTAAGCAGCAAGAGTGAAGGACACACGTTTGTAATCTCAGTACTAGGAGGTAGAAGAATCATATGGTTGAGACCAGTCTGAGCTAAGAAAGAGCTTTAAGATCTTGCTTCAAATAAAAAAGAACAAGTGCACTAAATATTTTTCAGAGTGCCTATTGCCTCATACTGCTATATTAATCTCCCGAAAGTTTACCAAACTCATAAATCCTTCCCACAGAGGTTTTTGGTATTTAATTTTTTTTTTTTGGTGGTGTTGTTTTGGGGTTTAAAATTTCATCCATCCATCCATCCGTTTGTTTATTGTGGATGGTGGTGCATGCCACGATACAGATAGGGAGATCAAAACAACCTGTAGAGACCAATCTCTTCTCTACATGGAACTTGAGGACTGAATTTCAGTTATCAGGCTTTGTGAAAAAGCATCTCTATCTGATGACCTAGGCCCTGTTTTATTTTTTGAGACCAGTCTTACTATGTCTTAGCCTCCCAAGTGCTAGAATTAGAGGTATGGACCAACAAAACCAGCAAGATACCCCATGAAGATTTTGCTTGTGGACATGAAAATGGTACTGAATATTGATTATGTCCGGGTCAGAGAGGAGAAACAGAAGCAACAGAGTTGGAACAAAAGCACAGGGTCAGAAGTAGAAATGACCATGAGAAAATGTTTCTAAATGGTCATGAACAAGATTCTAGATTTCCACTAGCTATCAAATCATGAAGGCAGATGAAGGTAGGAAAAAAAAAATCAAGATAACTTTATTTAATATGGAAAAGTCACGAACTACAAACAAAAGGAATAAACTTTTAATAGGTAATTTTACCAGAATCATTCAGTTAAAGAGCAAAAATTATAAATTCAATTTGCTCTGACTCTAAGACCCTAACTCATTCCATTGAATAATATCAAACATCATCATTAATGGTAAAACAGGATTTATGTCACAGATATTTTAATGTTATAATATCTGTTAGAATAATATATTACAATTATGCAGCATATTAAAATTTTATCTAAAGATATAAAGTGGCATAATATTCCACACAATATTAACTTGAAAAATCTTAAAACTCAACTCAAAACAATACTTGCTTAAAGTTACATATATATATTTATTCTGGGTTTCTTGTTTTAAGGGATGATCTGTCTTTTTGGTACTGAATAGGGAATCTGAGGCCTTACACATGGTAGGCAAGTGCTCTATCACGTCTATATGCCATATCATTTAATAATTCTCTGAAACATTGGAAAAAGCATATCTTGTTCTATTTTACACATATATAGGTGTACTCTGTGTGTGCATGTGTGTATATGTGTTCATATGTGGGAGGGTACATGTAGAGACTGGAAGACAATTTCAGGTGTCATCTTCAGTAACGGCATCCTTGGAGTCAGGGTCTCTCATTAGCCAGTTCACCAATTAGGTTAGATTGACTAATAACCAGCATTGTCACATAAGTTTTAGGGACCACACTCAAATCCTTGCACATTTAATGTAAGCATTTAGCGAGCCACCTCCTCAGCTCAAAAAAACCATATTAGTCAACATTATTAAGACATGGAAAACAATCTTATTAAAATCAGAATGCCACATATCTGTTACTTGATACTATTCAAAATTCTATCAAGCAGAAAAATAAGAAACACAAGTAATAATAGAGAAAAGAAAGAAGGTGGTATTCTTAAACAATATGCACTAAAAAAATTACAGAACTTCAACATACCACCATGGTGATTTGAATATACATGGTCCCTTTAGATTCATGTGTTTAAATACTTGGCCTATAGGGAGTGGCACTATTAGAAGGTATGGCCTTGTTGGAGGAAGTGTGTCACTGTAGAGATAGGCTTTGAAGCTCCAGTCATGCCCATTGACAGTTCATTTCCTGTTGCCTTCAGATCAAGATGTAGAACTCTCAGATCCTTCTCCAGCACCATGTCTGATGCAAGCTGCTATGCTCCTCACCATGACAATAATGGATTAAACCTCTGAAACTGTAAGCCAGCACCAATTAAATGTTTTTCTTTATAAGAGTTACCGTGGTCATGGTGTCTCTTCACAGAAATAGAAACCCTAACTAGGATAATCACCAATAACAACTTTAAAAGAAGAGGGAAAATGATGCACTGAATGACAAAATATATAATGAAGACTTGCAAAAATTGTGTCCCATTTAACAAAGCACTATCAAATACTAAAGGAGAGTATTAAAGAAAATGTAAGTATAAAAACAGTCTTTCTATTGACAAGACTAAATATTATAAATGTATCATTTTTCTTCTAAATGTTTAAATTTAACATAATACAACATCTGCCCTTACTCCCCCCCCCACAAAAAAAACCACTGCTACTCTTCTTGGAACTCGACAAAATGACTCTCAAATTCATCTGGAAGAATTAAAGTCTTAAATTAAAATTAAATTAAAGAATTAAAGTCAGACAGACAATATAATATGTGTGAGGTAAATGCAAGGTTAGTGAGTAGAAAACAAATTCAGCATAACAAGCAAGATGGTTAATCTACACAGATTTGCTCTAGCCCAACAAGATATATACATATATACATGAGAAAAACATAGGAATAAGTGGTAATCACAGCTATATTGCTTACTATTCAACAAGTACCACATTAAGAATCTTATCAATCTGCTCAATCGTGCCACAAGGGCATGTGCTCAACTATGTTCATAGCAGCTTTGTTTGTCATAGCCAGAACCTGGAAACAACCTAAATGCCCCTTGACCTAATAACGGATAAGGAAAATGTGGTACATTTACACAATGGAGTACTACATAGCAGAAAAAATTAACGACATTTTGAATTTTGCAGGAAAATGGATGGAGCTAGAAAACATTATTTTGAGTGAGGTAACCCAGACACAGAAAGACAATTATCACATGTACTCACTCACAGGTGGTTTTTAAACATAAAGCAAAGAAAACCAGCCTACAAACCACAATCCTTGAGAATTTAGACAATAATGAGGACACTAAGAGAGAGTCACATATATCTAATCTACACGGGAAGTAGAAAGTATAACAAGACAAGATCTCCTGAGTAAATTGGGGAAGGAGTGATGGGAAGAGGGGGAGAGGCAGGGAGGGGAGCAGAGAAAAATGTAGAGCTCAATAAATATCAGTTAAAAAAATTAAAACCATGTTTTTTAAAAAAAGAATCTTATCAATCATAACTTTGTGATGTATGATTATTTAACAGGCAGGACAATCTCCTAACAATCTGCAAAAAGATTTAGAGCCTTAGTAAATTTCCTTAGCTGGAACTCATAATCTCAAGCACAGAACACAAAAATAGTATTTAGCCATACTTTCCCCATGACTCCCTAAGATATATCCCACTAACTTTCCACATCATTAATGCCTAGAAGTGAACAGAAGTTAATGCCTTTGTCACCAGAGCTTCAGCATCTTCAAATAGAAAAGGATTAACTTTACCCAACACCAAGATAATAAACAGACTAAAAACAGAACGGTCACTGATGACTCTAAAAGTAAAATGACAATAAAGGACTTTAAAAAATGGGGGGGGGGGAGGAAGCTCACTAAATTTAGAACACAAAGAAATAAAAAACATCTGATTGTATTCACACCAAAAGTGAGTCCCAGGATTTCTGACAACAGAATATTACAAATATGGGGGGAGGGGCTGAGAGATTATGAAATACATAATTAGCCTCCTTAAGTTTTTTATTACTTCTAATTATGTACACATGTGGGTGGGAGATGCCCACAGATGCCCTGGAGCTTGAGTTACAGCTAGTTTTGAACAACCTGACAAGGGTGCTGAGAGCCAAAGTAGAGTCCTCTGCAAGAGCCCCCAACATCTTTACTACATAAAAATTAAAGAAATGTACAAAAAAGAAAAGAGTAAACATAAGATAAAAAGTCATCAAATCCAACTGCAAACTAAAATAAGAAACTATTAAAATTGCTAAATTTTACATACATTAGTATCTAATACTGACTGACACTAAAAGCAAAATAGAACCCTCAGATACTGTGGAAATATAAACTGGTATCATCTCTCTGGAAGGCATTTTGTCAATATTGTACCAAGAACCAAAACTATTTACATCCCAGTTATTGTACCTCTCCATATCTAGCCTATCTTAAATATGGGGAGGGGGTAACATTAGGCCTTGACAGTGCTATATTTAAAACAACTAGATGTTATTATCCTATAAAATGACAGGATAAATGCTATTAGGCAAACAGTCCTACTTCCACTGAATTTTGATAATGCTAAGCATCCTTTCAGATGTATAATTATGAAGGCTGGACAATGTAGCATCTTTATTTATGGGAAAGTTATGTAAGTGAGGGGAAAACAACATTGAAAACCATGCTTGCACTTAATTCTATGGAGGAGAAATATAGTAATCTTTACTCTTTTTTCTGATTCATATACTTAACATTTAAACCATTTTGTTTGTTTAGGTTTTTTGAGACTGGGTTTCTCTGCAGCTTTGGACCCTGTCCTGGAACGAGCTCTTGTAGACCAGGCTGGCCCCGAACTCACAGAGATCCACCTGCCTCTGCCTCCCAAGTGCTGGGATTAAAAGTGTGTGCCACCACCACTCGGCTT